AAATGTTATTTTAATTTATGTTTGCATAGTATGAGTTAGGGTCCGGATCTCTGGGTCCGGACTAGTTTGGTTGTTTATTTTTGATGTTAAATTAATGTTGGAATGGTTAATCTATTGTTCTTGCCTTATTTGGTTAATTAAACTCGAAAGATTTAATTGGCCATTTATTGAGAAAATATTGTATGCCAAAAGGCTATGATATTCAAGTACAACGGATTAAGTACAAATCTAGAAATGGATGAGTAGTAATAGAAATATTATTATTCCAATTGTTAATTTAATATGACAAAATAGATCTAAATGATGTCCAGACCCTAGATCCAGATCTACACTTATACTATGTAAACTTAATTTATTTATTATTTTACTCTGCCCTTTTTTTTATAATCGTTCCGAGAAGACTTTCATAAACCAATCCTAATCTTTACTGGGAAGGTTTACTACCCGAAAAACTACAACTGTCAAATGGCGCCGTTGCCGGGGAGTGGCACGCATTAGTTTAATTTCTTCTGATTAGCTTGGGTGAAGATTGGTTAGAACGATCTTCTCACTTCTTCTTTTTCACCAACCACCCGTAATAATTATTATGGATAATTCCAGTGCTTATTACGGTCCGCCTTCTTTCTACCAATCACCTAACCGCCCTCCGTACCATCCACCTTACCACCCACATCAGAACCCATATGATGATGACTTCCAAGTCAACAATGGGTCAGACTACTATCCCTACCATGAGGAAACACCATATGAAACCCCGTCTAGGAACTTTGGATATTTTCCATACCAAAATTCTGATGGGGATAATTATTATGAACCTCATGGAGATAACGATGACTATGACCAATATGGGCCAATGCACGACAATCAATCTGATCCACTCCTCGAAGAGATCATAAGATTAGAACAGAAAATCTTCTATTTCGACGAGGTTTTATTTGCTGAAGGTTCCTGGTACGAACCACCTTACTCCCGTGACTACACTTTGTTTGCTAAAGAACAAATTGAAGCAAACAAGGTGGCAATTCGAGAAAGAGCAAAACTTCTCGAATCAGTCCGGAAGGAAAAGGAGTTCGAACGGAGATTATGCGAAGGATCAGATATGATGCAGAAAATGCTGAATGACTTTCAAAGAGAGAGACTAGAAGCTGAGGCTAAAGCTGATAAATTAGTCAATGACCTCTGCAAGGCTGTTGAACTTAAACGCTCCCTCCAATCTCAAGATCAATTGAGGGAGATTAATGTTCAAAAAGAGGCTCTAGAACCTAAGACCAACCCTGAACCCATCAACCAACAGGTTCCAGTTCTAGAAGATTCACCCAGTTCTATACCATCACAGAAACCCGAGAGCATAACAACTCTCGCCAAGGCGATTGTGGTGATATTACCTGAATCCTTGCCTAGCCAAGTCCCAGCCAGTATAGTCGTACAGAAGGTGGAACCAACTGAGGGACCTGACTCAGAACCACCTATGCTTATTCAAGAAAAGGAGGAGGAAGTTTTGCCTTTGGCAATAAACAACCATCTCCTTAATTGTGTTCAAGACACACCTCCAGAGGAACCTGTTCTAGAGGAAGTAGAGCCCACTACCTCCCCCCAAGATTCAATTGAGTCCGAGCAGGAATCTACAGACGAGGAAGTACGTTGCACTGATGAACTAATTTCATCTATAGAAACCTGCGCAACTAATGATTCATCTGAAGCCTCAGACCATACTTTCTTTGATTCCCTACTTGATGGGTATGACTATGTCTGCCCGAAGGATGGTTGGAACTTAAAGAGTTGGGATGAACTTCTAATGAGTGACGACGAGGACTCTTCCTTGGGGGAGGGTACGATCATAATCGGGCGAAATATATATATATATATATATATATATATATATATATATATATATATATATATATATATATATATATATATATATATATATATATTTCCTGTAAGAATGATGCTTGGTGAAAGAAATAAGAATGATAATGATCCGTTAGATGTAATGAATTGGATGGCCATGATTTTACATCACGTTTAATGGTTGGCGACTAATTAAAATGTTAAGTATTAATCATATCCCTTTAAAATAGGGTGGTAGTAGTTAATAAGGGTATAAACGGAAAAATAAAAGTACATTAGAGATGGGATCTAACGCTATAAAAGTACCCCATACTTTGCACTTTCTATTTTATTACATTAAAACATTAATTTCATTTTCTTATTCCACTATAATGCTTATGTACACATAACTTTTCGTACACAAGTCCGTCTTTGACAAATAGTATGTTGTTAAAAATCTCTCGTCAAGATCTACCAAACGATACCAATATTGAATACCTTCTCCGTCCTAATTTAAATGACATGCTTATTATTTACATAGTCAAACTTTATTCACTTTATTTTTTGACATCTTATTCCTTTTGTTCATTTTTTTTTAATTTATTTTTGTTACTCATTTGATAAAATGATATTGTAACATCATCTTTTTATGGGATGCTTTTTAATATCCCTATTTTTTCAATGCAATGTGATGGTTGATATATGCACTGTGATTTATCGTTTAGATTTTATTCAAATTTTAATTCTTAATTTTTTGATTAGTGAATAATGACTACTAATTGACTTTGTATGTGATGAGAAAATCTGAGAATGCATTGCATTTCAACGAAGTGTAATACAAATTTGAAAAATAGTTTACATATGCGGGATTCGAACCAACACTCATAGTGCATACCGCTTTACCATTTGAGCTAATAGGCAATAATTTGGTTTTTTAAAAAGATTCTCATCTTGTACTTAAACATATTAAATATGCATTTTAATTATTTAAATCTGCATCATTGAACGTGTTTCTTAGCCTTATTCAAATCTATCACATTACATTTTGGGTGCATCCCAAAATGCATTTACCTCAACTTTAAGAATGCAATTCTTTGTCATGGAAATGCATTACCTTTAGTTATAGAATGCACAATAATAGAAATCCATGAAGAGTTTGCTCATTAATGATTAAATATTAGTAGCGATGAAAAACATGTTAAATTACAATGCACAGTGAATTCTCTATGATGCATAGCTATGGTGTATAATATGCATATAGAAAAAGCTTGCTCTATGGTTACCCATCGACATCTTCATCTTGGTCGCGTGAAGTGCCATATCCATGGTAATTGACATATGGATGCTAAAATCATGGGCACGATTGAAATAGCATTAATTAGATTTGGTTGACCATATAAATGTTTATTTACCCTTGTCAATTTTTATGAATTTTAAAGAAAAATAAGATAAACTTCTTAAATCCGACGTTCACGATTCATTCTTATTTCTTTCATAAGGTTTTATTCTTAGAGAAACCAAGAAAATGCATTACCTTCCCATATAAGTACCAAAATGCATTACTTTCTCACATAGGTGCATTACCTTGATCATCGTAATGCACAATAACAGGAAAAACACAAAAAGGAAAAGGCCTATCAAAAAGAGATAAACTACCAGCCTGGAAATTGAAGCCAAGTCAAAACAACACTAAACCCAATTGACTACTGACCACTATGAACAATGCTTCAAAAAAAAGACTAACTCACCCAGATAAGTAGTAAATAGAATAACCAAACAGTGGCGGAATGAACCCATTGAAAGTGTTGCCTTAGTGCATCTTCCTCTTATTTAAATTTCATATTCTCCTTTGCCTCATCTTGATAACTAGGGCTGTTCATCGGTCCAAACCCGGACCGAACCGGACCGGACCGAAGACCGAAATCAATAAAAATGGGGACCGAAGACCGGACCTAAATGTTTTCGGTCATTGACCGAACCGGACCGAAATCATGTGGACCGAACCGACATAGACCGAAAAAGACCGAAAAATAACCCTTTTAACACCCCACTGTATTTCTGTAAAAATTGGAGACACAACTAGCATCTTCCGATAAAGCTAATGAACAAATAAAATCAGTTCCTGATTCAATTCAAAAATCATTTTAAAGAGGAATTAAATTTAAAGGCACCAAGGGATGGTAGATCGGGTTGGGATTTGGAAACATCTTCAAATTTAAAACAAAAAAAAACCAAGAAAACCAACTTGGAGAGATTGGAGTACTTGAGTGGCTGCTGGTGCCTGGTTGAGGTCGGAGTATTCTTCACCGGTCAGGACTTGCAATTTGTGAAGAAAAAATTACAGAGTATGCTATAGTGATTTTTTAGAGAATATAAAGAGGGATAAAGAAAGAGTGGATACAAAGTTAAGGAAAGTTATAGTGAAATACAGAGTAATACATGGAATACAGAGGGAGCTTACTGCTTTTGGTATTCGGTCGGGTGCTACTGCTTATGGGGTTCGGTCATTTCGGTCCGGACCGAAATAAATTCGGGTTTGGACCGGACCAGACCGATACCCGAAATCAGAAATTAATTGGACCTAAGACAGGACCTAAATGTTATCGGTCCGGGTTCGGTCTGGACCTATCGGTCCGGTTCGGTCGGGTTTTTCGGTCTGGACCTAAACATGAACACCCCTATTGATAACTCATGGAGTGGAAATTAAATAATGAAAAAACATAGAATATATTCTACACAAAATCAATTCCAAAACATCGAAACTCAATCTAACCAATTACTTTAATTCTGCACCCCATATTAACTTTCTAAATCATTTTTTAAAATTTTAATAAAAGATTAAGTCGCTGTATAAAATTATTACTCCGTACTTTTGAGATGCAAGAATGGATCTGAAGAAAATATGCAATTAGATGTAACCTTTGATGGCCTTCTTTGATCGTAGAGCACAACAAAAACACACAAATAAGGAAATCCATAGCCATATTAAAATGAATATACTAATTAAGGAAAACAAAATCAGATCGGGAATGAAAAATTAGGAAGAGATGCGAGTATGCGCTAATTTTGGAGATGATCGCAGAGAGATTCGCAAATCAGGGGAAAATACTTATCTGCCCCTGTAAAGTTACGATAAAATGTAAATCTGACTTCATCATCCAACGCCTGAGATTCATTCTTATTTCTTTCATAAGATCTCATTCTCACCAGAACCAAAATCTATATATATATATATATGTGTGTGTGTGTGTGTGTATATAGGGATTGACTCCAGTGAGATGACACTTTATGGTAAGATGACATGCTTCAATGAGATGACACAACACACAACACTGCCAATGCAAAAAAATAACACCACCACTCAACCACCACTCAACTACCGCTCAACCACCATTCCACGGCAATAGTGGGGGTCATCGGTGGTGGCCATTGGTCATGGGCAGTCAAAGTGTAAAGCTCACCAACTATCAATGCAAAGCTCACCAACTGTCAATGGAAAGCTCACCAAGGAACAATGCAAAGCTCACCACTTTTTTTTTAAAAAAAAGCTAATAAAGCAAAACTCACCACATTACACTACAAAGCCCACCAATGGACAATGCAAAGCTCACCTGGAAATAAAGCAAAGTTCACCACTTTTAACCCCAAAATTCACCTTTTTTTTAAAATTTTAAAAATTAAAAAATTAATTAAAAATAAAATAACAACACTGGTCAACCACCAGTCAAGGGCGGCGAAGCAGTAGTGGCGGCCGGAGTCCGGCGACCGGCGGCTGACGGCGGAGGCGGCGACCGGCGGCGGCGGCGGCGATTAGCGAACGGCGGCGGTCAATGCTGGTAGTCAACAATCAAAGTCCAGTCAGCACCCTTCCCTTTGATTTTTTTTTTGAAAAAAAATTCAAAGTGTTGAAAAAATATGGTGAGCTTTGCCTTACACTTTGGTGAGCTTTATAGTTGTGCTTGGTGAGCTTTGCAGTAACTAGTGGTGAGCTTTGCGTCATCTGACCGAAGCATGTCATCGCACCATAAGGTGTCATCTCACTGGAGTCAATCCCATATATATATATATATATATATATATATATATATATATATATATATATATATATATAACTGCCTGTCGAACTTCCTCCAAGGAAGGAATCCTACTGAGCTACAAGTTATCACTATCTGTGATGATACTAGGGATTTGGGAGAGGGGGTGGATAGGGTTGGAGGGGGAAAGGGCCTGAAACTGCTTGGAGAAGTGGGAGACAGCTTCGAAGCAGATCTCTGATTGAATGGAGAGCCCAACACCAGTGTCCGAAATAATATGATTAATGGCAAGCTTCCATCTCTTCCCATTAGCAAAGGCATGGAAGACCTTGGAGTTTGAGTCCCCAAATTCAAGCCATCTTGCATTAGGTTTTTGCTTCCAATATGCCACCTCTTTGTGAGTAGCGAGAAGAAGTTTGGCGTTTGCCTTCTAGGCTTTTTCGCGATTGGCATCGGTAGGATCTTCCTCAAAGCACAACTGGTTTTGGGTTGCAAACTCCTCCGCCTTAGTAAGATTTTCAAAGATATTGCCAAATTCCTTCTTGTTCCACTCCTTGAGACATCCCTTAAGACCTTTGAGTTTTGCCACAAGTCCACGCATGCCACCAGAGTAGGGAGTCTTAGTCCAACAATCCTTAACCACCTGGAGGAACTGGTCATGGTAAATCCAGGCATTCAGGAATCAGAATGAAGAAGGGCCACTGTCACGGCTAGGATGACAACTGAAGAGAATAGCTTTGAGGTCACTACAAGCTTTGGGTAAATGGTGAGTATAAAAATGATGAAAGAATGATTGAAAAGCTAGATTAACCAACACTCTATCCAACCTACGCCATGTTCTCCCACGGCTTCTTGTGCCAGACCAGTAAAGAGACCACCGGAAGGGTCTGGACAGAACAGATTGCAAGCTTCAATGCACGAGTTGAACTCTTCCATTCCAAGTGCATTTGGTTCGCACTGACCTTTGTATTCTGAAGGGGAAGAAATAGCATTAAAGTCGCCTCCCACCACCCAATTTTGATTAGTGTTGCTCCTCCCCTGTAAGCTCTCCCAAAGCTGCCTTCTCTCAATCACCGTGTGAGCCCTATAGACAGAAGAGATAATAATTGTGGAGTTGGATTTGTTTACCATGGAGAATGTGCAGTGAGTAGCTTGTTCTTCGTCGTCAAAGCTAATCAAATGAAGCAGGTTAGAGTCCCAAAATATCCATCTCTTGTTATTACCCGAAGAGAGATGGTTGTTGTAACCCAATTTAAGTCCGTAGGAAGAAATGTGTGAAGCTGAAATTTTAGGTTCAAAAATACAAAAGAAAGAAGGGGTGTGAAACCAAAGAGGATACTTTTTTAGAACTTTTGCTCCTTGTCTCCATGGCATGAGGAGTAGTTTCTTTGGAGTGTTTGAGGTATTTTTTGAAAGGCATGGGGGTGGTACTGCAAGAGGATATATCCACCTGTAAGGGAAGAAGCTCAGAACCATCGAAAGGCATATCCCCTTCATTGCCTGCAGAATGGCAGTACAAGAAGAGAATTCATCTTCTTTCTCAAGCTTCTCAAAGTCCATGCACATCGTGGAGGCAGAGGAAGGTTTGCAGACCCAGTAGTCATCTTGGAGGTGTGGTGCAAGCGTTGGGACCCCTGGACCATTGGAGTAGGGGACCAAGGCCAGGCTGTCATCTGGGATAGTAATGGGCAGTGGGGCATTCTGTTTAGGAGATGACGTGGAAAGGACTTCATCTTCATTCACATCTTCAATGATAGGCAATATAGGAGACCACTGTGAATTAGCCTGTTTGGACGAACATGGTTGGTCAGAAGTGGTGTGAAATTCAAGAGGGGCAAGGGAAAAAGGGACGCCAGTATTTGAAATGTCCACTTGTTTTTGGACTTGGCTTTTTGGAGGGGAATTTCTTTGGCCCACATGAACTCCAACCCTACCCAAAATAGAATCTGGCCTGCCATGTCGTTTTCCTTTTACCCATGTCCATCCTGCAAGATCCTCCTTAAGCCCCGCTCCCATGATGTCCGCCTCACCGGCAGGAGCTTTTCCGGTGAGGCTCAAGTGTTTTTGTTTCCTGCAGTTGTTGACAGTATGTCCAAAAATATTGCAGCAAGAGCAGAAATGTGGGGGATTTTCAAACTTACAAGGGATCCAGAGATCTCTGCTTCCTAGCCGAAAATGCAGGCGGGAGGGGAACGGCAACGAGGTGTCTCTTTCAACGCAGAATCTGGATTGTTCCAGAAATACACCAATCGCAGTGTTGGAGTCGACTTTGATTGGCTTACCGAAAAGGGAAGCCACTTTAAATAGAACTCCATGGTCGTTGAGATGAACTGGAAAATGCTCAAGCTTGATCCACACCGGAGCAATTGGGGATTCACGGGTTGGGGAGTAATCCGGGGACCATTTGGAGATGACAATGCTGATTCCATTGACAATCCAGCGCTGCCGGGAGAACCAGCGCAAATAGTCTCCTTCCCGTTTGAAGAGGAAGAGAATGTCATTCTTTCGCAACCTTCGCAGTTTGAACTCACTGTATCCACCTTTAACTAGGAATGCCTCCAAATCATCTAACTTGGCTCTACTGCTGCATCGTCCCACAAGTCCACAGGAAAAGGGTTCGACCAACCTGTGTTCTTCTTCAGAGGTGATAGAAATGGACGGAGCTCCGTTCTAGATCCCATGGTTGCATCCAGGAAGATTTTCTGTGCCTTTAGTTAGGAGTTCCGAGAAAAGAGTCTTTCTATTGGAGTGCAAGTGATTTTGGATCTTCGCCGGAGATTTGTCCTTTTCGGTGGCCGGAAAACAAGAGAGAGAGGGAGCCATACAAATTAATGATAAATATAATTGTACTTCATTTTTTATGGTTTTGATGATAAAATTGTACTACCTCTGTCCCAGAGTATGGAGGTTTGTCCTTTCCGGTGGCCGGAAAACAAGAGAGAGAGGGAGCCATACAAATTAATGATAAATATAATTGTACTTCATTTTTTATATGTATATATATATATATATGTATGTATATATATATATATATATGTATATGTACACACACAGATATATATATATATATATATATATTGATGGGAAATAATACGTGGCTCGGCCCACATTTCCCAATTATTTACGAAGAACAGTCAAACCGGACCTGTTTAATAAAATGAGGGAATAAGAGAATATTCCCCGAATATGCTTCTCCTCCTCCCCTATAAAAGGAGGGCTCCCCCTCTAGGTTGAGGAGGAGAAATCACACTCTCTCCCTGCCATTTACTCTTTCCCTCTCTAGATAGTATATTTTTCTTCTTCTTCAAGAGCTCAAAGGCTCCATTAATGGCTTCCGAGCCTATTTCATGTACCATGTACACACCCCCGATATTAATAAAAATCCCCCGTTGGCAAGGTACCGCCAAAAAAGGCCCGTGGTTTTTTCCCGATTTGGGTTTCCACGTAAAAATCCTCGTGTTTATAGTTTGGTGTATTTTTTAGACTAGTTTATCGTTTTAGCCGGGCTAAAACGATATACCGGTCGATAATTTACACCATCATACACACACACACACATATATATATATATATATTCATACATACATACATACATACATATATATATACATATATATATATATATATAAATTCAATTGGGATTTTAAAATCTAGATGTATTCAATTAGGATTTTAAAAAGTCATTATAAATTCAACGAAAGTCTAGCGGTATTCATGGACTTTTAAAATTGAAAAAAAATCTAGAAGTATTCAAAATAATATTAAACCCATGGATTTAATAAAATCATTCATATATGAACATATTTTACTCCAGGACTATATATACTCTTTTTCCATTCTTTTCTTTACGCAGGAGCTGGTATTCTTTGTAGACTTTTTTACGCAAAAGCCCTAGGTCCGCCGTCCAAGTCTCATCTTCCTCAACTGCCGAACAGCTTGCAAGACAGCTCCGTCGAGTAAGATTTTCATGCTTTTGAGATTCAGTCCTTAATTGTTTGCTTTTTCGTTTGATTTCGTTAGTTGTTTTTGTCGGATTCCATGCGATTTTCTTCTATGAACCATTGATTATCGTGTAGCAACCCGGAATTCGAGTAAAAAGAAATTCCTCATCGGTTAGAAATTTGGAACTGCGCCCTTTACAAAAATTCTTCATTCGATTTTTTTATTTGACAAGTGAGAAATTTGGGACAATTGATTCCCCAAGCAATTATGGGTATTAGTCTTGAATCGGGTTTAACCCTATAAAAATTTGAGTAAATTATGTGTTGAATAATTATGTGAAAGCAGCAAAAAATGGTGCATAGCTGGTATAAAATACAGAGTATTCACTTTTTAGTTTTTTAGCTCCTTTGTAAAGGGTTAATTGGATGGGTTTCAATGCTGGCTCAGGATATCCACTTGGATCAATATGACAGTAAAAATGAATTGGCCTGGCCTGCATAACTGACTTGGCAATTACACTAGTATTTGTGAAATAAAACAAGTAAAGAAAATGGTAGGGATAAGAGATAGTCTCTGTACAGTCTTGTTTTTTCTTTAACACATGTTTTCCCCTTGATTTTTGGGAAATTGGAATAGTTTATATGATTTTTGTCTTATTTCACGTATGATGTAAATTGATGTATGATTGACTGTATACTATCCTAGAGATGGAAGATTCACAAGAGAATGGTAAGCGAAAGGATTATAAAACTTGGTCAACCAAAGAGAGTAACAAATTGCTGCAATTGATGGTTGATGGAGCAAAACGTGGTCTACGTGATGTTAATGGAGTCATTACAAAACAAACAGTGGAAAAGAAACTTCTTCCAAAACTTAAGGAACAACTTGGTTATGAAATTAGTTTTAGTCAATATCAAAGTAGAGTGAAATGGTTTAAGAAACAATACTCTAATTACTCTAAGCTTCTACGCCATAATTCTGGATTTGGGTGGGATGCAACCACAAAGAAATTCACTGCTCCTAATGAAGTATGGGAAGATTACTTAAAGGTGAGCTTATATCTTTCTTCATTTTTTTGCTTTAAGTTAATGCTTAAAATCGTGCTCACAATTTGAGCTTTTTGTCCTATCAGTCCAATCCAACACATGGATTTTTTCGGACAGATACTTTTTCAGATTATGATGACTTGAGAATCGCGGTAGGAAATGGAACTGCAACAGGCATGAATGCAATTGGCCTTGGCAATGACACAGATGCCACTATATTAGAAGTAGAAGAAGATGAAGTTGATGGGTTTGAGTCCATAGACAAGTTAGTCTTTGATGAAAATACTAATGCCTTCATACAAACTAATCTAGCTTCACCAGAACCTACAAAAAGTTCAAACATAGAAGATCAACCTTCATCACACAATAACGTCCAAGGAAAAAGGAGCAGAGATGATTTTGAAAATAGAAAGGGAAAAAAGGTTAGTAAAACTCAAGATGAGGTCCTAGTGAACTTGTCAAGTGGGTTTGAAAGAATTGTTAAGAGCTTTGATAAAATTTGTGGTCTGATGGAGAAGAGAGAGTCGAGAGAGAGTGACCTTTTGGATGCCATGAAGGAGACGCCAGGACTAACCGATGATGAATGCTTTATGGCTCTTGATTTGCTTAACACCAAAGCAAAACAAGATTTCTTTTTGAAGATGACTCCTGAACAACGATTAAGTTGGATCATCTCTAAACAAATGTAGTAGTCTTAAGAGTTATTTTAGCAATAGATACTTTTTTAGGTATTTGTTTTAAATCTATTCCTATTAGTAGTTGAGACTTATGTGTTTTGAATTACACCATATACTTTGATGATTTTATTATATATGGGAATTGACGTACCTTATTTATTTGTTTTTTTCTTGTTAAGCTATGTCTGAAATGGATATGTATGGAGCCGATGAAGATGAAGTAGAATTTTATGAGGCAGTTAAAATATTATTGTTAGCAATAAAAGCAGTTATTTCTGTGATACATAACCTCCTTTTGGACCTTGGTGGTGAACCTGTTGGACGGCCATTGACTCGTCGATCAGTGAGTTCTACTGGATACGAGTACATGCACAAAATATTAGATGATGACCCTCATAAGTTTAGAATGCTATTCAGAATGTACCCAGATGTGTTTCGGAAATTATGTTTTATCCTAAAAGAGAAAACACCTTTAAGAGACACAAGGTATATTTGTGTCGAAGAAATGCTTGCAACTTTTTTGCTAGTTGTCGGTCAAAACAATCGTTATAGTGAACCTAAAATGATATTTCAACGATCACACTTCTCTATTAGTAGAAGTTTCAACAAAGTGTTGAAGGCTTTGAATACAATAGCACCAGATTTTATGGCTAAGCCAGAGTCCGTACCATACATCATCAGAGAGAGCACAAGGTTTTATCCTTACTTTAAGGTAAGTTATGAAAATTAACACTGACATTAGACCATCTTAATTATACACCAATAAATATACATTTTTTTTGTAATTCATTTTTTCAGGATTGCGTTGGAGCGATAGACGGCACCCATATTCCAGCAATGGTAGTTGGGCGTGAAGTGAGTAGTTATCGCAATCGTCATGGGACTATATCTCAAAATGTCTTAGCTGTATGCAATTTTGATCTGCAATTCATTTACGTGCTTAGTGGATGGGAGGGTTCTGCCCATGATTCAAAAGTTTTAAATGATGCGCTTTCTAGACCAAATGGGCTCAAAGTGCCATCAGGTATATATTTTTTCTTCTTAAATTGAGTCTCTTATTATTGCAATTTATGCAACACATAAATGCATACTTATTAAATAATATTTTCATGAATAGGTAAATATTACTTGGGAGATTGTGGTTTTCCAAATCGTTGTCAGTTTTTAACACCGTTTCGAGGTACTCGATACCATCTTAAAGATTTTGGTGGAGGAGGAAATCACCCTACCAATGCACGAGAGTTGTTCAATCTTCGACATTCTTCCTTAAGAAATGTAGTTGAGCAAATATTTGGAGTATTCAAGTCACGATTCACAATATTCAAAACAGCACCACCATTTTCATACAAGACACAAGCAGAACTTGTTTTAGCGTGTGCGGGACTACACAATTTTCTTCGACGTGAGTGTCGTTCAGATGAATTTCCTCTAGCTCCAGATGAAGACACAACAAATGAAACAGATGAGAGTTATGAATGGGATAATACTCAAACACAAGATCAACAACGAGAGAAAGCTAACGAATGGAGAGTGAATCTTGCAAATGAAATGTGGGCAACAAGTAATAGTGAAAATAGTTAATTCTTTACTTTATTTGTTTTACAATTAGATTTGTTTTCATTTTTCTTGAAACATTTGATTGAGATGATGAATTTTATACAATGCAATGTTTTTTTATTCAAAAGTTTTATTAGTATATATACTTTTCCCTTGTGTGCTAGGTCAAATTTATTTTACATTATCAATTAGTATTAAAAATAATACAATTAGAATTATTTGGTAAAAAAATATTTTAGAAAAATTATTTTAGTTTATTTTATACTCCGTATAAAATAATATATATATATTTTATTTAAGTGCAAGAAATAACACTGGACGGACATAATTCAATGGTGGAAGTGAAATCTATAAAATTATTCAAATAAAAGTCCATAGACTTGTTAAAATCCATGGAAATTATTTATATAAAATCAATGACTCTTAAAATATCAATAGAAGTCTATGACTTTCAACACAAGTCCATAGACATGAATAGAAGTCATTGATTTTAAAAATATGAATACAATTCCTTAAACAATACACCCCCATACATGCTTTTTTGTACAAGGAGCTGTGGGCTCGTTATCTCCACGCGCTAACTCTACCTTCCCGTTCATTTGCTTGACTTTTGTCATCCCTGCACCACAAACACTCCCTCGCCGTCAATCATTGGCAGCGACCACCGGCGGAAACCTAAATTTTTTTTCTTTCGTTCTTATTTCCCGCGTGTCGATGAGTGAGAAGGCTCAAACAGAACACCCATCGGATTTGGAGTCTCTACCGCCCACTGAAGCACAGACGGAGGCGCCTGCGCCAAATGCCGATTGTGGACTTCGATCGGATTCGGAAACGGCCATTATTGCTAATTGTGCGCTTGATATTCATCGAAATCCATCAAACCCTTCTAAAATCCCTATTCGGCCAGGGAAAATCAGAAAACTATCGGCTGCGACCTCTGTCGAGTTTGCTGATCAGAGACGCTCAGAAACTACCGCCGATCCCTCTTCTCCTTCTGCTACAAAAGAGACCATTCCGGTAACTTCTTTTGTGTCGACATCAGGTGCTTCCACTACTCTCATTTCTCCGTCCTCCAGGAATCGTAGGAAAGCTCTTACGCAGATATCTAGGGTTTTGTCCCAAATTGTCAAGCCCTTGTCAGCTGATGGAGAAATTGAGCTTGCGCTTCGCCACCTCCGATCTTCAGACCCTCTCCTTGTGTCTCTGATTGAAACCCTCCCTCCTCCAACATTTGAAACCCGTCACCCACCTTTTCTAGCTCTGGCAAAGAGTATTCTTTACCAACAACTTGCATATAAGGCTGGTACGTCCATATACACACGATTCATCTCTCTTTGCGGAGGGGAGATAGCTGTTAATCCTGACACAGTCCTTGCTCTCTCAGCTCAACAGCTCAAGCAAATTGGAGTCTCAGGCCGAAAAGCAAGCTACCTGTATGACCTTGCAAACAAGTACAAGTCTGGGATTTTGTCTGATGACACTGTCGTTAAGATGGATGATCGTTCGTTATTCACAATGCTATCAATGGTCAAGGGCATTGGCTCTTGGTCGGTTCACATGTTCATGATCTTTTCACTGCACAGACCAGATGTTTTGCCTGTAAGTGACTTGGGGGTAAGAAAGGGGGTACAACTGCTGCATGGGTTAGAGGATTTGCCGAGGCCATCTCAGATGGAGCAGCTGTGTGTGAAATGGAAACCCTATAGGTCGGTGGGAGCATGGTACATGTGGCGGTTTGTAGAAGGAAAAGGGACGCCAGCCTCTGCAGCAGCAGCATTAGATGGTAGTACTGTGCAGCCATTGCATCAAATTGATCACATGGAGGATGCACAACAGCAACACCAATTGCAATTATTGGAGCCCATTAATGGCATGACAAATCTTGGGTATTCTTCTTCTTGCTATTATTAGCGTACGAGTTATATGTTAAATTTGTATTTCGGAGTATCATTTATGTTCATTTATATTAGGGTATCAATGCACTAACCAGTGTCTTTCCTCATAGTTGTCACTGCAAATTGATTCTTCTTTCAATGTTCAACTACTGTGGCAGTGACAGGCTTATATTAATTCATTGCTCCTTGCGACAAATTAATACTCCCCCGTCCCAAATTAAATTGCCTGTTTTGGCTGTTTACAATTCCCCAGGCCAAACTTTATTCACTTTCTTTCCCTGTTTTTATTAGTTATTTGATAAAATAATATAATCATGTCTCCATTGGTTTTGTAGATCTTTTGATGTAGTTTTTAAACATGTAATTTTTATTTTTTAATTCTACATCATTTTTCATATAAAATGAATTGAAAATAACTTCACTCAAACATCGTAAACTGAAATAAACGCTTTAAATTGGGACGGAGGGAGTATTATACATTACATTACAACAACAACATTACCTAGTGCCTCAAAGTCTCCCGCCCATTGCAGGGAAAGGGGGGTCGGGTGTATGTAGCGTGACCCATATGTTTATAACACAGAGTGGTTGTTTCCGGTTGACCCATGATGAGCGCTGAGAGTTGCATTGACTAATTGCTATTTCACTATTGAGAGAAGCGCATATAATTTAAAGAGCTATTTTGCTTTATTCCATCATACCCCAAAGCCAAAAAATAGTGAATCTTTGGCTCCATTGGAGATGATGAAATTTTTTTTCTTTACATTAGTAGTTAGTAAAGACCACTCTAAAGCTCCAGCACATTGTGGATCTATAGGCCATAATAAAAAAATATTATGGAACTATAGTTATTGATCCAAATCATTAAAAATTTGGATATCCGCATCCTTCTTTTTGGTTTGCAAACGTTGAATGACTCAGAGCTTTCAAAATCATACTCGCTCCATCCCAAATTAATCTTCCTAGTTACTTACTATTCACAGACTCAAACTAACTCCACTTTCTGTTATATATTTTCATCGATCATTTGATAAAATAAAATAATTTGTCACCACTTGTTTTGTAAAACTTTTGATGTTGTTTTTTAATATATAATTTTTACTTTTTAATTCTACACCAGTTTTTACTTATATTAATTTTGAAGATAACTTCATTCCACCATCCTAAACTGCAACATGAAGATTTATTTGGGATGGGAGTACTTTAAAAGGCAAAGTAGTCTTCTATATATATTTCACATAAATGATAAACTACAACAGTTACTTGGAATGGGAGTAGATTTTAGTCGATTCCATTTTTGGAGTAGGCTCTTTTGTGTTTATTTATTGTTGATAAGTAACTATGTTCATTTATATTAAGGCGTCACTGCGCTATCTAGTTGCCACTGCAATTTGAATCTCCTATCAATGTTGAAATACTGTGGCAGTGAGAGGCTTATATTAACTTGATGACCTTCGTAACAAAATAATATTTTCTCTTACATTAGTACTTAGTAAAGACTACTTGAAAGCTATTACCACACGTGGATCTCTAGGTCAAAATAGTATAGTATGGTATAATGGTAATATGAATTTGGATAATATTCCCCTTTTTTAGCTTGCAAATGTTGAATAACTCAGATCTTTGAAATTGATATATTAGTTGGCTCTGAGAATTTATGATCACATTCAAATTAGAATTAGTCTATAATATTTAAATTTCACATAAATAAATGATACCAGAAATAAATTATAACGGATATCTTTTGAGTAAGCTGATAATATTATTATGGAATTGTGTTTAGGTCATCATTTCAAGATTAGGAGGCCCAGGCACCAGTGTAATTGCATGTTTTTATTCTAACTACCACCTTTCATGTCTAATAAATGAAATTATATCAAATTATCAATAATACTGCCAATTTTTTAGGTTATACTAATGGGTTCCATGTCTGCTTTTATTATATTCATCAGCATTACATGCTTAGATGTGTTTCCTAAGATGCAACTCATGTCCTGATAGTAGCCCTTCTATTTAGCTTACTACAATGCAGTTCACAAGCAGATGTACTGTGTGTGATATCTGAATTTTAAGATCAACGAGATTCATAGATATGATATACTGACAGTATCATGCCCAACAAGCAATCAGAGGAGCATTTTTATGCCCGTGCAAGACTTGATTAATAGACGTTGCATTCTTTCTGAAATCAGGACGCATAAATACTGCTAGCTGCTTGTCAAGCAGCTGATTAGGGCTTAACAATTAAACAGTGTGGGAAGAGGGAAGCAGAGTATGGGTTTGTAAACATGGAAACCAAGCATATGATACTTGCATTACTCATGATCGTAAAATGCTATGCATTTAACAAACACCCCCTCCGCCTCAAAAAGATGTAATTTTTTCTTTGAGAGCTTTATGTGGTTCACAACTTTTCTCTCCTTTGCATAAATTATTTCAAGCACGCAGTGTTTCACTTTAATAAAAAGTGTGTCTAATCAAACTAGGCCTATATTTTTGGGGAGGAAGCACTATGAGTGGAAAGACCTTAAGATCTTTATTTTATATATATCATAACATAAGAACCAGGATCCTGGGAGCACAACTTTTTGAAAGCAGCCCGAGAGCCAAATAATAGTGGAGAGAAACTTAGGAGCTATTTGGCTTCAAATCAAAAAGTTGATTTTGCAGTTTCTCATTCCAGAGTTAAATGTGTGTTGCATTTGTTTTAGATTTTGAAAAGAACTCGTTGCTTCATTCTGCTTTCTAGGACGTATTTTCAGAAATAATTAACTACTTGATTCTCTATAATCAGCTAATTATTAAACAGCCGGTCCAAAAAGAGAAAGGTTGCCAAATGACCCCTTAGAATCAATAGAGCAAGTTATATGCTATAAAGAGGACGGGGAAAATAGTTGAAAATGCCAAAGATGTTGGTCTTTTTTTGGAAACTGCGGTTTTGATTTTATTGTTGTTGTTAGTTTTGCCTTGAACCAAACTGTTAAGGCATGGATTGATTGAATGATCGTGTGATCTTATATTTCAAAATGTAATTTTGGCCATCTAGTGACATGTTCAAGGTAATTTAATTATCAAGGGGTCAAACTACTTATATTGTACTCCATATTGTATATCATGCTGTCAATCTTCTGGCTAGAATCTAAAAGACATACAATAGGATTTAGGCAAAGGCAAGATCTGTAAAAAGTTCAAAAAGAGGAGAAATTTTGATGCATCTCATCTCACTGGATATTTCTTGCTGCGCATCCAGCATTTGATTAAATTCTCCCTCCAGTTCAATATATATATGCCGTTTTATGAGTGTTCATTACAGTATAATTGGGGGGTATTACAGTGGTGTATGTAGAAACTTTTTAAACCGGGGCGGTAGTTGAATCTATTGTGCATCTAACACTACACTGGTTGGGCTTGTCGTTACACTTGGCTTAGAGTGTCTCTTCAAATGTTTATCCATAACCCACACCGTTTATACTTTTTAGTTTAGGGTTTTTTGGAGATACTAATGTGTTATGAGCGTGGTTGGCAGAAAAGACCATACCTTGTTTGATTTTTCGATCTATAATCCTGATTGCTTCTGTTTCAGGTCTTGCATATGGGGCCAGTGAATAGAGGGATGTGACTGCTCAGCCGTTTTCAATATGATTGTAAAAATTTTGGAGGGACTCCACGCTGCTTGTGGGCATAATGAATCCTACTGCAAAGAAGCTGTTCTGGACAAGGTTTTTCTGTTCTTAGTTGTGTGTTCTTAGAAACCTTGAAAATATACTCGCTGTGTTGTATGCTATTCAATCATAGTTAGGGTCAGATATGTTTGGTACAGTAATGAGGAAGTATATGCTGGAAATGGCTAATAAAGCTTCTCCCCAATTTGTTACTTCTTGAGTGCGACTTTATATTTGTAAAAGCTAGACTATTGCAGTCAACATCTTCATCTTTTAATGTGTATTCAAATGGTTCCACTAGTTGCTTCTGAATTCTCAAAGACACACAGACTTGATAGGACGACAGGGCTGATCTTCGGGCCAGATCGTGCCGATATATTATGAGAATTTTCTAGGCTCGAGCTAGCCTTTCCGGAATAGCGGGCATGGCAATTGAAGGTCGAGTCTGCAATGCATGGGCACACACTTGCTTCAGGCTAGCATGGATCCACCCCTATTCAAAAAGAGAGCTGGCAGCGGTGGACAGAGGATCCCATGCGTATATAGTTATATTCAATGTATGTTAGTGTGATCAATATCAATGTGCGATTTACAATAATAAGAACATCTTTGTTTGATGAAATGTACGGAGTACTTAAAATTTTCACTTTTTTTTGTCCTAAAGAACTTATCTTTGTTGGAATAATAATACGGAGTACTATGTAATGCTGTACCCCTTACCAATGTGTTTGTCTCAATTGACTCTTGTGGTCATAATGGACAAAGCCCGATCATCAATTAAATAAAAACTGCATTATATGGTCCGTTTGGAAAGGGAGAAGTCAGGGAGAAAATGACTTCTGGACGAAGGAAAATGAGGTGTGGTCAAATGGAAAATATGCCCCTACAAACAGAATTAGACTTCCGCTATTTTTTTTCCGGAAGACAATTTCCAGAACATGCGTCCATCTCCTCCCCAACATTCACTCTGCATCTGGTTCCGAAAAAAAAAAAACATGGCCGTCTCCTCGCCTTACCCCTTCTGCTCTGCTTCTAGTTTCGATCATCACAGCAGGGAGCACATCAGGCCTTCTACTTTGTTTCTGGTTCCTTCCGTCCCCATCACCACTGGTCATCATCACAACAAGGAGCACATCCGTAAGGTACCAAATCTGTCGGCATCATCGCACAGAAGATTCCCAAGGTGCCAAGTTTTCTTTCATTTTGAATCCTAATCGTGGGGGTGTAGCCAAACATCAGAAATAAAGAAAATGACTTCCGGAAAACAACTCTTTTTCCAGAAATTAATTTCCTCATTTTCCACCTTTCCAAATGGACCCTAATGCAAAAATGATTTAGTTATATTTATGATTTAAGATATTTTCAAAATAAAATCCTACTATATACAATCCTAAGATGCTTTTCTGAACAGTGTTCCCGCCCAAAATAATGGGTCGGGTCAATGCTCAATGGCATGCTTTGTATGGGCCGATTATGGGTAAGTGTGTAGATAGGACTATACACCATGGAGCCTCACACCAAACTTTAATGTAATTCCCTTTATGTCCAATCAACATCTATTAAACAGATATCACTTTTGAAAAGTTAGGTGACTGATGGACAATTAGACATAATGGGCCGACAACTTTTCAGTTAGCATCATTTAAATACAAACCACTTCAAAGTGAAGATTTGCAAATCTTTCGAGCTCAGTGCCTACAAGCTGCCTACTTCCAGCCGTGAAAACATTAAAATGGGAGCTGGCAACAACTAAATCAAATCAGGGTACAACCCACACAATATATGTGATACATTTATTACAAAGCTCAATATAAATAGATTAAAATTTACATTTTCAACATCCATAATCCAGCCATAAGCGGTCTCCTTCCAACTTCAAGGTTTGCAACTTTATCTTCTATCCATTATTAAATGTTCTTTCTCCTAGCAATGATTCTCTGATTTTTTTTGCTATGTGATTGTAGGAATAATACACATAGATCAAACTCCAGAAATTCAAGCCAAGTGGATAATGGTTAAAGGCTTATAGTTAAAGATACAAACAATACAGGCACAATACAATTTAAGATACAAACAATACAAGCCAAGTGTATTTCACTTTTGAAGAAATTAAATACAAAGTCAAGGATTAAAAAAATTACACAAATGTACATCTGCTTATCAAATTTGAAAGACTTTTTAAAAAACTATGAATGGTGCTTTTTCATTGTTCAATGCATTAGAAATTAGAAATATGATACTCCATACCTTTTTTTAAACTAATGAAGGGCATGTTCTCTGAAAAACAATTTTAAATATTTATGATGATTTTAGATTTCAAAGCTTGAATAAAATATGATACTTCGTATTGTTTATATTTGCACTAGCTATAGGGAGAGAGGTTGTAAGAAAGTTGAGGTAATAACAATGAAGTCATTAAAACTTAAAAGAGTAAATTCCATAAAAGGTCCCTCGTTATAGTTGGTTTTTACATATTTAGTCCCTACATACCAAATATCAATAATTTAGTCCACAATTAATATATTCTTTTCTACAAATGGTCCTTTGTTAACATTTTCTTTAAAACGTAAATAAAATTGTAAATTCACACTCTTTTATCTCCTCAATTAAGCTTCCTCTCTTCTCTTGCAATCCTTTCTCAAACTCGTCTCTGAGTTTGAAGCTTTGAACCCAAAATTAAAATCATCACTCTTCTCTCAATGTAATATTTATTTTAGGACGATCAATTTAAAAAGTGGAGTTTTAGTTTTGGAAGAAAGGGAGGGAATATGAGATGAATAACTACCTAGTCTTTAATTAGCCTCCAAACATTCAGAGATAAAGAACAGTAGAATAGAGATGTTTGATCCTCAAAATTCGACAAAAGATACAATTGCCACGAATTCTCAAATTCATCCTGTAATTAGTAGTCGGCACAGGTCTCACACTTAAATTACTATTTGAATGCCAACTACCAACACATCACAAATGTCGAGGATTTAGAATATAATAGTGATAAGTCCGTTTCGTTCTTATCATTTACATCATATTCTAAACGTTATTGCACGTAAATAATATTTAATCACCTCATAAAATGTTGTTTTAATGGATAAAACTCTCATTTTCGTTCTAAGAGTCATAAAATGGGATTCCACATGAAATTATCATAAATCATCCATTTTATGTTCAAATACTTGAGAAAAAGGGAATAAATCATCAAAGGATCAAGATTCGGGCTTGAACGAGCTTCCGGGAGGTCAAAAACAGTGTTCGGGGCCAAAACGGAGCGAAATTGGGCCAAAATCACGAACCAGCCGCGAAGCCCAACGGACCAAGGCCTCCAGGCGTCCAACTTGGACGCTTGGCCAAGTTTGGACGCTTGAAGTTGGACGCCTGGGCTAGATTGCAATTCAAGAAAGACACGTGGCAAAATCTGGTTGGCCGGAGCAGCTCAAGCGTCCAGATCTGGACGCTTGGACTTGGACGCTTTGACTTGGACGCCTTGGATCCATTCCTATAAATACAGCACGATTCTTCTCATTTTTATCATCCCATTCCATCCCAACTTCGGGATTTACACATCTCGTCTCCATTTTAGCTTGTATATTAGTTTTAGTAGTTAGTTTGAAGTATTTTCGGAGGTTTTGACTCCAGATCTGTCCTGTTCCGCTTTTACGGAGGTTGTAAGTTTTCTTTATTTAATAAAATGTTATTTTAATTTATGTTTGCATAGTATGAGTTAGGGTCCGGATCTCTGGGTCCGGACTAGTTTGGTTGTTTATTTTTTTTATGTTAAATTAATGTTGGAATGGTTAATCTATTGTTCTTGCCTTAACTGGTTAATTAATATCGAAAGATTTAATTAGCTATTTATTGAGAAAATATTGTATGCCAAAAGGCTATGATATTCAAGTACAACGGATTAAGTACAAATCTAGAAATGGATGAGTAGTAATAGAAATATTATTATTCCAATCGTTGATTTAATATGATAAAATAAATCCAAATGATGTCCTGACCCTAGGTCCAGATCTGCACTTATACTATGTAAAATTTATTTATTATTTTTACTCTGTCCTTTTTTACAATCGTCCCGAGAAGACTTTCATAAACCAATCCTAATCTTCGCCTAATTAGAGTAATTAAATTAATTCCCTTCGTCCACTCCTCGAGAGATACGACACTCGGAGAGAAAACTAACCCTTTACTGGGAAGGTTTACTACCCGAAAAACTACGACTGTCAAATGGCGCCGTTGCCGAGGAGTGGCACGGCATTAGTTTAATTTCTTTTAATTAGCTTGGGTGAAGATTGGTTAGAACGATCTTCTCACTTCCTTTCACCAACCACCCGTAATAATTATTATGGACAACTCCAGTGGTTATTACGGTCCGCCTTCTTTCTACCAACCACCCAACCGCCCTCCTTTTCAACCCCACCAAACCTATCACCCACATCAGTACCCAAATGATAATACTTACCAAGTCAACAATAGATCTGACTACTATCCCTACCATGAGGAACCACCATATGATACCCCGTCTAGAAACTTTGGATATTCTCCGTACCAAGATTCTGATGGGGATAATTATTATGAACCTCATGGTGACCAATATGACTATGACCAATTTGGGCCTATGTGCGACGATCAACCTGATCCACTCGTCGAAGAAATCCTAAGATTAGAACAGAAAATCTTCTATTTCGACGAACTTTTATTCGCTGAAGGCTCCTGGTATGAACCACCCTACTCCCGTGACTACACTTTGTTTGCTGAAGAGCAAATTGAAGCAAACAAGGTGGCAATTCGAGAAAGAGCAAAACTTCTTGAGTCAGTCCGGAAGGAAAAGGAGTTTGAGAGGAGATTATGCGAAGGATCAGAATTGATGCAGAAAATGCTGGATGACTTTCAAAGAGAGAGACTAGAAGCTGAGGATAAAGCTGATAAAATAGTCAATGATCTCCGCAAGGCTATTGAGCTTAAACGCTCCCTCCAACCTCAAGATCCACATTTGGAGGAAGTTAATGCTCAAAAAGAGGCTCTAGAACCTAATACCAACCCTGAACCATCCAACCATCAGGTGCCAGTTCTAGAAGATTCACCAAGTTCTACACTATCACAGAAACCCGAGAGCATAACAACTCTTGCTGGGGCTACTGTGGTGATGTTACCCGAATACCCTCCAAGCCAAGTCTCAACCGGCACAGTCGTACATGAGGTGGAACCAACTGAGGGACCTGACTCAGAACCACCTACGCTCATTCAAGAAAAGGAGGAGGAAGTTTTGCCTACAGCAATAAACGACCATCTCCTTAATTGTGTTGAAGACACACCTCCAGAGGAACCTGTTCTGGAGGAAGTAGAGCCCACTACCTACCCCCAAGATCCCAACGTTCAAGAGTCTAAGGAGGAATCTATAGACAAGGAAATACCTAGCACAGAGGAACCAATAACGTCTGTAGATAATCATGCTTCATCAGAAGACTTAGACCAAACTTTCTTTGACTCCCTACTTGACGGGTGTGACTATGTCTGCCCGAACGATGGCTGGAGCCAAAAGAGTTGGGATGAACTTCTGGTAAGTGACACTGAAGACTCATCCATGGGGGAAAGCACGGTCGTAATCATCAAACCAAAAATGGATGGTCAGCCTGCTGAAGATAAGGAAGAAATCAATTTCGCAATCAAGGCTAACGATGTGGATCTATTGTGGAGATTTTCGCCCCCACCCACCTATACAGCGTCTCCTCCATATACCCTGTTGCCACCAAGCCGCAGGGATGAGTCAAGGATCCTGGACCTTGACCGAGCAAAAGTTCCAACAGGGTGGCATCAGAAGAGAGTCAAAAGGGCCAAACTTTATGACTCTCGAATCGGAAAGTCGCGGAAAAAGTGGGTCAGCGTCAAGCTACGGACGTTAAAGAAGCGCTTAAACGGGAGGCAACCCGTCATTCAAATAACTAAAATAATTAAATAAATTCAATAGTTTTATTTGTTGGTTTTTGAAGTTTTGCTTGCCGCACCAGTTTTGGGGGCAAGAGTTATTTTGTTTGTTGTCTTTGCTTTTGTAGATGAGAGAATTGTAGGGCATACCTTACAGGTGGAGCGAAGAAGAGGTCTCACCTGGGGAAAACACAAGGTTTCTGCAACCTTCGAGGCTTCTTGATCCAAGAGTCTTGGTTGAAGTTGGCTACTGAGAGAATATTGACTTTATCAGTAAAGTCTCTTTTTCTCTACTATTTTGAACATGATTTGGATGCTTGATGATTTTTATTTTGGAATTTCACTACATGACTCTTAAAACCATTTTGAGAATATTTTATGCATTATTTCATATTTTTGTGTTATGGTTATCTATTATTTCAATCTTCATCGTTGAATCTTGTAAGTATTGAGATAACTTAGTAATTGCATGTGAGCATTTCAACCATTAACTCCAATTTCAAAATACTATTAACCACGAGGGCGTGGTTCCGTTTAAGTGTGAGGAGGTAAGAGTTCCTGGTTGAAATGATCTTTTTAGGAGGTGTTTTGTCTATATATTCTTAGGAAAAGATTTTATAAAATAGTCATCAATTTTATTTGTTTGATTAATTACTCTTTAGTTATCACCCGTGGAAATTGGAAATTTTTAAAATTTTTGTCAAACTTTTATTTTTACTCTAACCTTTTGGGAATGTTTTCTAAAATGATTTGGGATAAATTCACAATTTATTAAGAGTTTTTTTTTGATCAATTAATTTTTAAGTGCTTTATTGAAAATATTTTTGCTGATGCTCTTATGAGTATTTGTTGTTTCTTAAAAAGAGTAATTTTCAAAGTATAAGGGGTGATGTTTCAAAGCATACTTTGGTGAGACCGAGATTCTTGTTTTAGCCAAAAAGCAGTTGGTTCTATGTCAATTGATGAGGCTTGGTGAGTATGCCAAAAAGCACGTGGTTCTATATTGCGTGATGAGGCCTTTTGAGTGTTAGAGTCAAAAAGCATGCGGTTCTATGCCGTGTGATGAGACTTTCCAGAGTGAATATCCAAAAAGCTCGTGGTTCTATGTCACGGGATGAGGTTATAAATTTTTCTCGTGTCAACATGACAAAGTTATGCCAAAGAAAATTAAACCCTTACACTTTGACAAATACTTTTGCAAGAACATGTTTTCCCATTTAGCCATTAAAAAATTATTTGATCTTTAAAGCACTCTTACAAATGTAGTTATCCCAAAGAAAGTTTGGAAAATTTTGGTTGTTCAGGTTGGTGTAAAAATATTGGTTTGACAAAATTCTTTTACATTTCTAACAATATGGGTGAGAATCTAAAAGTTCATTTATTCTTAACAAAAAGGTTGATGACTATCTTATTTCTTCTTTCCTTTATAATATGTAGATTAAACCTTCCCTCTGCAATTATTTTGCCTTTATACTTGTAATTATTCAATTTGTTGCTTGAGGGCAAGCAACGTTTAAGTGTGAGGAATTTGATAAGTCCGTTTCGTTCTTATCATTTACATCATATTCTAAACGTTATTGCACGTAAATAATATTTAATCACCTCATAAAATGTGGTTTTAATGGATAAAACTCTCATTTTCGTTCTAAGAGTCATAAAATGGGATTCCACATGAAATTATCATAAATCATCCATTTTATGTTCAAATACTTGAGAAAAAGGGAATAAATCATCAAAGGATCAAGATTCGGGCTTGAACGAGCTTCCGGGAGGTCAAAAACAGTGTTCGGGGCCAAAACGGAGCGAAATTGGGCCAAAATCACGAACCAGCCGCGAAGCCCAACGGACCAAGGCCTCCAGGCGTCCAACTTGGACGCTTGGCCAAGTTTGGACGCTTGAAGTTGGACGCCTGGGCTAGATTGCAATTCAAGAAAGACACGTGGCAAAATCTGGTTGGCCGGAGCAGCTCAAGCGTCCAGATCTGGACGCTTGGACTTGGACGCCTTGGATCCATTCCTATAAATACAGCACGATTCTTCTCATTTTTATCATCCCATTCCATCCCAACTTCGGGATTTACACATCTCATCTCCATTTTAGCTTGTATATTAGTTTTAGTAGTTAGTTTGAAGTATTTTCGGAGGTTTTGACTCCAGATCTGTCCTGTTCCGCTTTTACGGAGGTTGTAAGTTTTCTTTATTTAATAAAATGCTATTTTAATTTATGTTTGCATAGTATGAGTTAGGGTCCGGATCTCTGGGTCCGGACTAGTTTGGTTGTTTATTTTTTTATGTTAAATTAATGTTGGAATGGTTAATCTATTGTTCTTGCCTTAACTGGTTAATTAATATCGAAAGATTTAATTAGCTATTTATTGAGAAAATATTGTATGCCAAAAGGCTATGATATTCAAGTACAACGGATTAAGTACAAATCTAGAAATGGATGAGTAGTAATAGAAATATTATTATTCCAATCGTTGATTTAATATGATAAAATAAATCCAAATGATGTCCTGACCCTAGGTCCAGATCTGCACTTATACTATGTAAAATTTATTTATTATTTTTACTCTGTCCTTTTTTACAATCGTCCCGAGAAGACTTTCATAAACCAATCCTAATCTTCGCCTAATTAGAGTAATTAAATTAATTCCATTCGTCCACTCCTCGAGAGATACGACACTCGGAGAGAAAACAAACCCTTTACTGGGAAGGTTTACTACCCGAAAAACTACGACTGTCAAATAGGAACCCACCCGTATATATATATATATATATATATATATATATATATAAAGATTTTATTAATGAAATCGAAAGGAGGGTACAATCTCGTTAAAGAGAGCGGCTTTTACAGAAGAAGAACAATCGCTAATATTACAATATTCAATAAAATTGCATCCTTTGGTTGTGTCTTCTTTAGCTAATAAGTCAGCGGACTGATTTCCTTCTCGAAGAGTATGAGACGTCCAAATGTCGTTATCTGTGATCATGGTACCCAAGATATCAATTGGAAAAGGAGAGTGTGGGTGATGCACATACTTTGCAAGTCTCATAGTGATTTTGGTTCTGGTGAGAATGCAATCTTAGGAGAGAAATGAGAATGAATCTGGTGCTTTAGATTGTGAGATCTAAGGGTCAAGATTTCATCAAAATTAGATGCACCAAAATGGTGCGAAAATGCATCACGTTGAAATGCATCATAAACCTTTGAAAATGCACTATCTCAAAATCTGAGCGCAGGATGCAATCTGAGCCGCACGATGCATCAGATCCGACGGCTAGATTTTATTCTCATTTCTCTCCACAAGGTGCATTCTCACGGGAACCGGCCCCTATATATATATATATATATATATATATATATATATATATATATATATATATATATATATATATATAGGAATTCTCTCTCTTCTCATGCCGGCCACCACCTCCGGCGGAGGTCCTGCTACGGCACCTCCGGCGACAGCAAACACCACCACTCCTGCATCCATAACTCCTCCCCCAAAATCTTTTCTCCAAGCACTTAACGTTCGGCCTTCCTCCTCCAATCCTCCATCCATCACTACAGATACTCCTCCAGAAAAATATAAGGGGCTTCCCTGCGTGGCCTTCACTGATGAAGAGGTTCTACTACTTGCCAGCAGATTCTCAAGAGCCCTTGTGGGTACCTTTTATTATGGTAGACCTAGCATGCAGTTTATTCGTCAATGCCTGGAAAAAATTGGCTCCAACGACTTCTCGGTGGCTCTCATCGACAACATGCATATCCTTCTGAATTTCACAAATGAAAACGATTTCCATCGTTGCTTTAAGAGGCAGGACTGGAAAATAGGAAGCTTCCAAATGCGCATATCCAAATGGACTCCTGACTTTGATCCAAGGTATGAATCACCTATCTTACCTATATGGATATCTATCAAGGACTTACCAATTCATCTTCACTCCAAACCCTCCCTTATGAGAATAGGAAACATTTTTGGTAAGCCCCTGAAAATAGATGCTACCACAAAATTTTGGACGTCCCTCTATTGCAAGAGTTTGTGTGGAGGTTGATATCTCCAAACCTCCTCCAACCAAGTTCTATGTCATGAATGGTTCAAAACCACTCCTCCTAACAGCCATGTTAGAAGAGCTACCAGATTATTGTGGGGAATGTAGGGGTGTGGGCAGGCACAACAAGGACTGCAGATTAGCAAAAAATAATCCTGAGCAGAACCCATCCCAAGGTCAAGCCCCAAAACCCATCCTTCTTCCGGGGAAGGATAGCCGGAAAATACCCCAAGGAAACAACCAGCAGCACCACTCCAAAAGAGACTTCCAAAAAATTCCACCTCAAACTTCCAACCAGACACTACAGGTCAAAAAAACAGCCCTTCCAAAGAACCCTACTGAAAGGCCCAGCAACAATAATACATTCACAATCCTCCAAACTGTCCCTGATAATAGCACTACCATACACAACCCCACATCCTGTGCTAACCCCCCACCCAAGTCAAATTCCACCCCACTAATCCTACTACCTCAGACTGCCCCAATACAGCACCCATCCCCGTCTCTTCCAGCAACCCAATTATCACAACCACTCCCCAACCCATTAGCAAACATAAATCACAAAACCAATCTTTAAACAGCAATCAAGAGCCTCCCAACCAAGACCACCCCCACCCCCTTTTACATGAAAATTTCCTTAGTGAAGAGGACTGGGAAGTTCTTCATCACAATGACATCTTTGCCAAATGCCTCATATCCTGGGAAGAAAATCAGCCTCCCAAGCTTCCACCCATGGAACACATGGACTCTCAAATCCTCTCCCTGGATGACCTGCATCTGGAAACAGAAAACCTTGCCCTTACCCCCATTTACATTTCTGATTCTGATATCCAAGACAAAGTCAGGTCTTCAAAAGCCATGCCTAACCCAAAGCCACCAGAACCTCACACCACTGATCAAACCACCCCTCTGCAAACTTCACCTGAGCACTCCCCTTTGCTTGACCAGGAACCAGAAAAGAAAAACACTGAATCTGAGGAACCAGCACATGAACAGCCCTACACAACAGTACAAAGGAAATCAAAAAGAATTCAGGAAAAAAAATCCTCACAAAGTCTACAACAACTGGTTAACCAATGAATTTGCTCTTTTGGAATGTTTGTGGGCTTCCCTCTAAAATACAGAGGCTAGCCATCCTCATCACCACTCATAAAATTTCTTTCCTGGCTATCATGGAACCCAAAACCAATAAAAAAAACTGACACACTACCAGCTCTCTCTAGGCTTCACTCACTCCCTTGCTACCAAAGACAACAGAACCTGGGTAATGTGGAAAGATGACATGCTCAATTACCTCTTCCACCAGGAAATGGATCAGGTGATTAATGTCCACTTCACCCATCAAAAAAAGCCTCTCACAATTTCCTCTGTTTATGGCAAATACACTCTTACAGACAGACAAGGCCTTTGGGAAAGTATTCATGAAGCTGGGATAAACCTCATTGACCCTTGGATAATTGGGGGAGACTTCAACTGCATCTCATCAATTGACCACCACAAAGGCAAGAGTTCTCCATGCCTTAATAACATTCAGGACTTTGACAAATGTATCATGGACAATTCCCTCATCTCCCCTAGCTTTACAGGCAATCCTTTCACTTGGACAGGAGTGAGGTCTTTGGGAAGAATATGGAAAAGGCTTGACAGAATCTTCCACAACAACCATTTACTTAACTCCTTCCAAGAAATAAATTCCATCCACCTCCCCAGAGGCACATCTGATCACACTCCTATCCTGGTCAAAGCTCTTAACACTATCTATAGTGGACCTAAACCTTTCAGGTACATCAACTGCTGGAGTTCTCATAACACCTTCATCAGCATTGTTAAGGACAATTGGGGGCCTTATTCAGGGGGAGGAATGAGAGGTCTTGGAGAGAAGCTCAAGAATCTCAGCTTCACCCTACAAGCTTGGAACAAAAATATTTTTGGTAACATTTTTAATAGGGTGAACCAACTGGAAGAAGTTTGAAAGACTTGGAGGATCAATTTGACACTGACCCTACCCCTGACAATAGAATGAAGATGAATGAAACCAGGGCAAAACTCACTCAGGCCACCCAACAAGAGTACCTCTATTGGAAGCAAAAGGCAAATATTAAATGGGCAAAGGAAGGGGATGCCAATACCACTTTTTTCCATGCAACAGTCAAACAAAGGAGATGTCACCAAAGAATCAACAGTATAAAAACCAATGAAGGCATCTGCCTAGTGCAACAAAAAGAGATTCAAGATGAAATTCTCAATCATTACAAAGCACTTTTCATGCATAAGGAGAGCCATAATGAGAATAGATTCACTCAACACATCCCCAACCTCATCTCTTCCCAAGATAATAACAACCTCACCTTACTTCCAGATGAAAAGGAGGTTAGATTGGCAGTTTGGTCCCTCTCTGCAGATAGTGCAGCAGGACCAGATGGCTTCAATGGGGAATTCTACAAAACTTGTTGGGATCTTATAAAGGTTGACTGCACTAAGGCAGTTCAAGAATTCTTCCTGGGAATCCATATTCCCAAAACCCTGGCCCAAACCACCATAATCCTCATACCCAAAAAAGAAAACCCCCAGAGATGTGAAGATTACAGGCCTATTTGTCTTTCTAATTTCAGTTGTATGATTCTCTCTAAAATCTTGGCTCAGAGGCTGAGCAACCTTCTACCTAAAATAATATCCCAGGAACAGGGAGGCTTTGTGAAAGGAAGGGTGATTCATGATCAAGTACTCCTAGCACAGGAATTATTCCATGGTCTTAACTACAAATCTAGGGGAGGAAACCTTGCCATTAAACTGGATATGTCCAAGGCCTATGATAGAATCTCTTGGGATTTCCTATTTTCTGTTCTTGGACACTTTGGATTCAGCAACACCTTCATAACCCTCATTCACAATCTGCTCCAAAGCTCTCACTTCTCCATCATGGTCAATGGATTTCTCTCTAAAACTTCAAACCTAAGAGGGGGCTCAAACAAGGAGACCCACTCTCTCCCCTTCTTTTCATCCTTGCCTCTGAGGTCTTCTCCTGAACAATCAAGGCTGAAACTAACTCTGGGAATTTGTCACCCTACTATCTGGGAAGGCACTACCTCCCCATCACCCATCTTGCTTTTGCTGATGACCTTATCCTATTCTCTAATGGGAGCTCCCTAAACACTACCAGGATCATGCATTTGCTTAAAGATTATGAAGCTAGTTCAGGTCAACAAATAAACCTGGACAAGTGTTCCTTTTTTACCCCAAGAAAACCCCAACAGCAACCTTGAGGAGAATGAGGAACACTCTGGAAGTGAAAAGAGGTACTCTCCCTTTCAAGTACCTAGGTGTGCAGATTCATCTAGGCATCAACAGGAAAGAATATTGCACAGGCCTCTTAAATCAGTTTGATAACAAACTTAAAGGTTGGTACAAGAATCTTCTAAGTCAAAGTGGAAGACTGACTCTCATCACACATGTCCTTAACACCATCCCCCTTCACCTCCTTGGCTGCAGCAAACTCCTCAAAAGCATTATCAAAATCCTCCACTCAAAAATGAACAACTTCCTCTGGGGTCAAACAAAAGAGAAGAATAACCATCATTGGACCACCTGGGAGAAAATTTGCTATCCTAAGGATGAGGGAGGACTAGGATTGACAGACTTGAACACCCTACAGAAAGCTTATGGCTTAAAGATGTGGTGGACCTACACTCAAAACAGCTCTCTGTGGGCACATTTCATGAGAACAAGATACCCAAGGGGATTGGATTCTGCACCTCAAATCATTGACTCTATCTATTGGAAAAGGCTTTATGAGACTCACATCAAAACTCATAACCACCTATCCATTGATGAGCATGACAGGCTTATATGGCACAATGGGGAGGTTGGCTTTAGCATGAAGAAGGCAAAGAATTCTTTGAGAGAGAAAAACCCCATTCACCCTTTCACTAAGCTCTCCTGGGGGCCTAAACAGAGAACTAAACACTCTCTTTTCCTATGGAAGCTCTGCTTTGGTTATCTTCCCCTACCCCAATCACTAACAAAAATGGGTTTTCAAACACCCTCCATTTGTTTTTTGTGCAGGAACAGTGAGGAAAACACCAACCACCTATTCATGAACTGCCCCTATAGCAAGCAGATATGGACAAACTTTGAGCAAACATTTTCAGTTTGCCAAAACACAGCACATGGAATCCTAGTCTACTTGACTAACTGGTGGAAACAAGGAAATCTACAGAAACACAACAAAAACATCTTCAACATAGTCCCAGGAATCATAACGCACGAGATATGGAAGGAAAGGAACAGAAGAGTCCATGAGGAAGAAGAACTCAGCACCACACAAGTAATCAACAACATCACAAAGCAAATCTATGAATGGATTGTAATTCATCACAAAGGAGACAATCAAGGGATTATCAAAATGCACTTTAACTTACCCACAATTAGGATGGGAGCAATCAAGGTCCTCCGCTGGGAACTGCCAGACACTGGAATCATTCTAACCACCGACGCAGCAATGAGGAATGGAAGAGCAAATGGAGCTTGCATTATCCGATCTAACAAAGGAGATTTCCTCACTGCTTGGACCTTCCCCCTACGCGCAGACCAGCCAGCAGAAGAAACGGAGATGGAAGCGGCATATGAAGGAACCAGAAGAAGTTTGTACCTTGACTCAAAAGTCAACTTGTACACAGACTCAAAAATCTGCGTAAACAAAATTACTAGTGACGACAACAATGACTTCTTTACGACTTTGACCCGAGAGCTCATTAATAAATCTGGAGGACGAGTCAACCATATCTATCGAGAGGCAAACATGGCGGCGCATCATTTGGCACAACACGCAATGCAGAACAACTCTTTCAATTTCTTTCACTCGTTTTCTACACTCCCAAAAAAAGTTCGAGGAGCTATTAAATGTGATGTAACAACACCTTTTATTCATCTTAAATAAAACATCTTTTCCCAAATATATATATATATATATATATATATATATATATATATATATATATATATATATATATATATATATATATATATATATATATATATATATATATATATATATATATATATTTAACCCGAAAATAACCACCAAAATCAGTGGGGTAAGGTCCAGGCCACCCTTACCAGTTTATTTGAGAACACAATTAATACACGTCCGGGGAGGACTAGACCGAAGCCTCGAAAGTAAAACAAAAAAGAAAGGCAAAAGACAAACAAGAAGGTCAACCTCAGAGTCAACCTCAGACAAACAAGAAGGTCAACCATCAATTACATCTCACGTAGATCACCTTCTCCCCCTTCTCTTCGAGACTACGTGCCATCTAAATCTGTAACCCAACCGATCGCAAAAGTGGAATCCTGCCGCCTTGAATCTCCTTCCCAGACAGAAAAAACATGTTAAAGCCCAGGTTAGTGAGATTGTTATCCAAGATCATCCATTTTTTCCTCCTCTTCTTCCAACTCCAGTCTCTTAGTGTTTCTAGGATACCCCGCTTGACCTTTGTAATGTTAGGCGAGTCTGATTCATATATTATTCTATTGTATTCTTTCCAAATATGCCATACAATAATCCCTGGAAGGATGCCACGCAAATGTCCTTTGAGGTTATTCCTTCTTTGAGTAAGGTTCCATTCCAAAATGTGTTGATTAATGTTTAAGTTGCTTCTAGGAGTAGGTCCATCTACTGCCTCTGCAAAGAACCTCCAAAGACCCATACTACACTCACACTGAAGTAGGACATGATCTTTAGATTCTTCCTTACTCTTGCATAGTGGGCATACAGAGGCTAGGTGCACCCCCATTGTCCTTAGCTTTTCTGGAAATGGTAGTAATGAATTGATAACTCTCCAAAGGAAGAACTTTACCTTGGGAATTTGATCCTTATTCCAGCAGTAAATGTAATTAATTTGAGTGGGTCTGGTTTGTCTGCAAATGTTGTATGCCTTTTTAAGAGTGAATTCTCCATCTTTCCAGGCTATCTGTTCACCCAAATCAATGCTATATTCTGAGGCAATGTTGTGAATTCGGCAAATCCTTTTCCATACAGGTGAGTCATAAAGTCTTTCTTCAAAATCCATTTGTCTAAGGTACTTGATTCTCATAAACTTGGCCCATTTGGTAGTGTCTGTTTGCACTTTCCACCAAAGTTTAATTGAATAAGCATCCTGGATATCCTCCAAACTTCTCAAACCAAGCCCTCCCTCTGCAGTTGGAACACAAATGTTGTTCCACTGACTCCAATGATACTTAGGCTTACCATCCTTGAAACCCCAAAGAAAATTAGCCATTTTCATGTGAAGACTTTTAATGATTGATTGTGGAAGACTGTGGACTGCAATGATGTGGAGAGGGATTGAAGATAATACATGTTTGATTAGTACCAGCCTCCCCATAGGATTTAGAGTAGTGCTGAACCAAGAATTCAAATATTTGTCAAAGTGATCCAATAGTTTAGAGCAGTGGTGTTTCTTTAGCTTACCTTTGATCATAGTAGCCCCAAGGTAAGTGAATGGAAGGGTCCCATGACCCATGCCCAGGGACTCTGTCATGGTGGCAATTTTAGTGTTACTGACCTTTTTTCCAGTATAAAAGCAGCTTTTGTGAATGTTAATCTGCTGGCCAGATCCCTTCTGATAGTCAACTAAAATCCTCTTGAATTTAGAAAGATTTCTAGAATCTCCATTCAAAAAAACTACTAGGTCATCTGCAAAAGCTAGATGACTGATCATAGGGTGATTACCAGTGTTGAAGCAACCCAGACTATTGTTACTCGTATGAAAATTGATCATTCTTGAGAATCCTTCACTGCTGATCAGAAAAAGGAGAGGGGATAGAGGGTCTCCTTGTTTTACACCCCTCTTCATTTGGAAGAATCCAGCTGGTGTTCCATTAATCAGAATGGAAAGATGTGATCCCACCAAGTTAGCCATTAAGATGTTTTGAGAGTAGTCATTAAATCCTAGAAGATTCAAAATTTTCTTAAGATAGCTCCACTCCACTCTATCAAATGCCTTGGCCATATCCAGTTTAATAATGCAATTATCTCCCCTAACCTCCTTGTCAATCATATGGACCATTTCCTCTGCCAAAAGAATTTGTTCTTGCACACCCTTGTTCTTTTGAAAACCAGTCTGTTCTTTTGAGATGATTTTAGGAAGCAGGGTAGCTAGTCTAGAGGCCATAATTTTGGTGTTAATTTTACTCATGAAAGTGGAGAGGGATATGGGTCTGAAATCACCAAAACTTTTAGGGTCATCAACTTTAGGAATCAGAGTAATGAAAGTGCTCCCAAAGGACTTAGGAACTGGGATTCCCAAAAAGAACTCCTGGCAGGCTAGAATAACATCCTTCTTGATAATGTGCCAACAAGTTCTGAAGAAGTAACCATTGAAGCCATCAGGGCCAGCTGCACTGTCTGGATTAAGAGCCCAAACTGCAAAGAAGATCTCTGATTCTGTAGGCATAGAGCATAAGAGCTGATTGTCCAGGTCATCAATCACTTTAGGAATAAAATTAGAGATAAGATCAGTATCTGGGTGATTAACTGAAGAGTAGCACTTAGAGAAGTAGTTGACTGCCTCCCTGCTAATATCCTCCTGGGTTGAGTGATGGTTGCCATTAGCATCTTGAATAGATCTAATAGTAAGTTTACTCCTTTTGTGTTTAACAAAAGAATGAAAAAACTTAGAGTTGCAATCCCCCTCAGACATCCACTTGATGTTAGCCTTTTGTTTCCAGAAGCAAGCCTCTCTGTTGAGACTAACTGTGAGATTAGCAGAAGCTAGATTAGCAGCAGTCCTCTTCTCCTCATTAGGATCCATCTCATATTCTTCTTGAGCTTTACAGGCTGTAATTTCATTATCTTTCACCTCTTGGAATATATTGCCAAAGTGCAGTTTGTTCCAGGTTGAGAGAATTGATTTGAGACCCTTTAGCTTCATAGCTAGACCTGCCATACCTCTAGTCCTAGGGCTATTAATCCAGTAATCATTAACTATAGTTAAAAAATTGTGATGTGTAGCCCAGACATTAAGAAACCTGAAAGGTTTAGGTCCTTGAAATCCCTCTTCCTTACAAGTGAGAAGAATTGGTTTGTGATCAGAAGATGTCTTACTGAGGTGGGTGTTACTGATATCTCTGAAAAAAGAATTAGCATTGGAATTGATGAGGACCCTGTCAAGTCTCCTCCAAAGCTTACCCTTACTTCTAACTCCAGTCCAAGTGAAAATCCCTCCAGAAAAGGGTGGTGAGTGTAGCCCACAAGCATCAATACAGTTCCTAAACTCATTCATATCAGTAAAGTCTGGATTAGTGTTACCTTTGTGTTCATCCATGCTAAGAATTGTGTTGAAATCACCCCCCACAATCCAAGGGTGATTACAAGTGTGTGCCTTGAAAATTTCCTCCCAAAGTATCCTTTTCTGGTTGTGTTGTGACCCCCATAAACAGCAGTGATTGTTATGTTGGTGTTGAGTTTGATATTCCAAAAGTCAAAATTGATACACTGGCTTGCTTCACTGTATCCTTGTATTTTTAAGTCACTATCTCTCCAAAAAATCCACATTTTATTGTTGAGCCCACCTATGGAAAGAGGGAAACCTAGGTTGATTCTGTACCAATCCCTTTTATCTTCTGAGATAATAGGCTCAATAACACAGAGGAAATCAATAGAGTTAGAAGTGGTTAAAGTTTTTAGCCTATTAAGGGAAGAGGCTGCTCCACGAACATTCCAAAATAGGCAATTCATAAAACCTTTTTAAGAGGTCCTTCTAACATTCTTGCTTGACTCCTAGTCATAATTGTCCTTGCATAAGAGTTTTTATCCTTGAATGTAGCTTTAGGGATAGCAAGAACTGGGGAATTTTCCTTTGGAATAGGAATCTCAAAAGGTTTGAGTGCATGGTTGACCCAAAGAACTGGATCCCTTTCTCCTTCTGAGTGATATCCTGCTTCAGGGAGGTCTTCATCCTCACATTCTCTATCTGATCCCAAATCCTCTATATCAATTAACTGAATCTGATTCATAATGGAGTCATCCTTGGATCCCTTAGGAAAAAAATTTGGTTGGAGAGATAGATTATTGGAATTTTGGCAATCCTTGTGCTTGGTGTTGTAATTCTGATTGTCTTCTTCTGGTTGCAGGAATAATTTGGAAGCAAACTTTTTGGCTGCAGAAAAGGAGGGGAAGTGCTCCTGAACATTGAAAAGGGAGTGTAGGCCCCAAAGAGAGGAAACTGAAGCCACTCCTGCAGCCTCCTGATTGGTAGGTCCCTCCACTAAAGCTGAGCTAATATTAGACTCAAGGATAGGAAGAGAATCTATTCCTCGAGGGGTAGATGAGTCTAATCCTGAATCTGGAGCTGTAATAACTTGGCTTTTAGCTCTTGTAGAAGAACCTGGTTCCCTGTGGATAGACTTGCCCTGTTGTAATGTAGTATTTGACTTATCTTTAGGAATCCATTCTTTAGTAACTTTAGAGGACTTAGCCTGGCCCCTCTTGAGTTTTCCCTTACCCAATGTCCAGCCATCCTCCCTAGTTACCTTGGTTGGATTATGTGAGTGTGTAGCCTGGCACTTCTTAGAATTGTCTTCTAATATCCAGCCATCACTCACCCAACGCTTCTCTGTACTATGCACAATTCCCCTAGCGTTTGTTTGGAGTCCCTGCTTGTGTTTTTTCCTTTTGACTTCCACCCAACCCTTACCTACACTGTTGTTGGACTCCACTTTTTTACCCTTGGTAAAAACAGATTCTGGGGAGGATCCATGAATTTTGCACAAGAATTTGGATGGCCCAAGTTTATGGCAGTGTTTGCAGTAGCCTGGGACACCTTCAAACTTACAGGGTAGGATTAAATCTCTTGGCCCAATTCTCAGATGAATGTTAGGAGGTAAGGGATTGNTTGGAGTCCCTGCTTGTGTTTTTTCCTTTTGACTTCCACCCAACCCTTACCTACACTGTTGTTGGACTCCACTTTTTTACCCTTGGTAAAAACAGATTCTGGGGAGGATCCATGAATTTTGCACAAGAATTTGGATGGCCCAAGTTTATGGCAGTGTTTGCAGTAGCCTGGGACACCTTCAAACTTACAGGGTAGGATTAAATCTCTCGGCCCAATTCTCAGATGAATGTTAGAAGGTATATATATATATATATATATATATATATATATATATATATATATATATATATATATATATATATATATATATATATATATATATATATATATATATATATATATATATATATATATATATATATATATATATATATATATATATATATATATATATATATATATATATTTATTTATTTATAAAGAAATATTATTAAAATAAAAGGAAAGAAAGGAAAAGGGTGGCCCACGCTCTAACAACCGGCCCAAATCAAGGAACCCAAAAGATAATGCCTAGATACATTCTAAAAACAAGGGCAAGGAGATAAAAATGAAACCCATGCTGGCAGTGCTGTCTAAAATCAATCCAAGTACGGTCTTCACAACATCTGTACAGTACTACCCATGTTTCCTGCATTCTGTTCCATCTACTAGCTTTTTTTCCTGGCCAAAAGCTTCTCCAGAAGCAAGAATTCCAGTTGAACCAAGCAGTAAGAACCATAAGAGATTGCAGCATTAAACTGCTAACTAGAAGCCATTGACTGCCTATGTCAAACAAAAGCTAAATTACAACCCTTAGTTGATAAATCATTCATCTTGGATTTCGTCTGAAGGAAAATCATCTGCCATGTCTAAATCTGTTGTAGAGCGAGATAAAATACTGTAAATATAGTCCCTCAAAGTAACTCAAGCTCACCATCTCCATGTATCTAATTGCTTCTCTAGATGCCCGAGAGGGGAGAACAAAACACCATGTGAAAGGGATTCTAGACAATCAGAGTTGCAGACCTTTAATCTATAAGGCACTGTCCAAAATGATCAGTAAATCCTCTTTTAACCTGATGTCTAACTAAAAGACTACATTGTCTCAATAGCTGCAATCAATCCCTCAAATTCCCTTGCACGGAGGGTGAACAAAAGAAATATACTAAAGTTCTCAGGCCTAGGTTATTCTTGATTTGGTGAAATGTGAATGAGGTTGCATGACACTGATATCCAAAACAGAAACACTAAACTTGTTGCTCCAAAACAACGTATGGTCAGTGTTGAAAATCATCCTCCTCATCTTCAATATCAGTTGCCAAACTCTTTTTTAGCCTTTTCTTTGCTTTCTTCTTTTGACTTTTTGTCAAAGGTTTGTTGGCTTTCTTGGAACTCTCCTCCTTCTTGTTTGGACAGGAAAGTCGAAAGCAATTGATGACCTCCTCTTCAAACGAATCTTGGGACTCATCCTCCTCCCATAAGAGTGGAGTTATTTTCCTACCTTCTTCAAGAATTTTTGCTTTGCTTCTAGTAACTATTTGAGAAGGAGAAATTGTTCTGGTGCCCCTAAGTTCCTTGCGTAGGTTTAAGTGTTGTTTGGAACATCTTGAGAAGTCAATTTGCAAAGGCTTAAGCTTGGAGTCTATGAATGTTGTATCCTCTCCGTCTGAGTGTGTATAAAGTATAGGTCCATCCCTGTCCTCAATAAAGTCCTCCACTGCATTCAAACTATGTACTAGGCTCTTGTCATGGATCTTTGAAAAAGGGTCCTGATGCTCAATGACTTTGTTCTCTCTTCCAGGTCCTTGACAGAAAAGTGCAGCAAAGGAATTCTTCGTCACAGGTATGAAGGGTGGAGCAAAAGGGGACATAGTACTGCAGGGTAGAGGAGGGAAGAGGGAAGGGATAAGGACAGCTACCTCCTTGGTGGCAGCTAGGCTTTCACATTCAAGAGAAGAAGTGTCTTTGGTAACACCATCATCAACCTCAATCTCTCCTTTAAACTCTGCACTTCCAGAGTGATATTGGTCAAATTGTAGCCCAGGTGTTACGCTTCCCAATGTAGCCAATTGGGGAGGAATCAGTAACTGGTGCTCAACTGTCTTGGCAATTGGTAAATTCTGAGGTTGAACAGGTATTTGAGCAATTGGAGTGGTGGCATGGGCAATCTCAAGAGGCTTAGAAGTAGCAGCCTTGGTGACCTTATCAACGAAAGAAGATACTGCCTTGAAAAACAGAGCCAAATCATCATTCTTAGGATCAGTAGGGATTAGGATGTATCTCTTCCCCTCTTTTCTTTTCTCTTGGATTTTAACAAAGTCACCCCTTCTATTTGAACCAGCAGCTAACTCAATGGTACGGTTATCACCAAACGAAAAGAGAGCCCAAGCTCTATTTATAGAAATCCTTGGAAGAGATTCCATAATCCATCTTAATGTATCCAAATCAAACCAGAGATCATATCTTCTATATCCACACTCAGATATGCAGAAGTTTTTATTATAATATGAGTGGAATAGCTCAAATACCTTATTTTGGGTTCGGAATGTAAATCTATGGTTGCGGCTAGATATTGTGGCTATGGCTTGCTCCTTACCACCCAAGGTGACCATATGAGAGCGGCTGAAGACATAGGAATCCACCAAAGCCTTTGTGTGTGGGGATCTGAATGGCCATCTACGATTCTGAGTCTTCCTGCGGTGGTTCCAGTTATTCTTATAATCTGGAAATCTTTCGATTTTATGTGATTGTGTGGGAGGTCGGTGATTTGAATCGAGGGAGCGCCACCCAGAGAAGCCATAGTATCCGAAGAATTTCTCGGAAGTGTGGTCGTGAAATTCTCGCTGCCGGGGATCGCTGCTCCTTCTCTCTAAACCCATTATATATACTGCAGCAGGTTCTAAAGATGAAGAACCCCAAGAGTTTGCTCATATATATATATATATATATATATATATATATATATATATATATATATATATATATATATATATATATATATATATATATATATATATATATATATATATATATGTTGGTTCTTGTGAGAAGGATGCTTGGTGAAAGCAATAAGAATAAATGCTATCCATTGATATTGCAAATCTAAGGGCCCAAAATTGATCTTAAAACTAGTGCCATTGCTTAATTAATATGGTAAATAGCATCAATTTAGGAATAAAATAATTGTGTAGGGGCATTATTGTACACATAAAAAAACGTAAACATGGGGTTCCACTTTTTCAGCCGCAATTGGAGTTCCACTTTTGATGATTTTTCTCTTTTTTTCCTTTTTAGCTGTATTAATGGGTAGTTAAATTACACTTTTTTTCTCATATTTTTAAATTTGTTAACCATTTTTCTTTTATTAAAAACAATTGTGTCTAATTTTTGCTATTAAACTCTTTGTAATATTTTATTTCTTTTTTGCTTTATTTTACTACATTTCTCACGGTGCAAGAAATTCTTTTATTTGCATTAATTTTTTTTGAAAGAAAATATTATGTGGTTTACAACTTTTTCTTTTGCATATTTAATCACCTATTTTTTTAATTTTTATCCCTTTCTTTTAAAAAATTTGTATCCATAAATTTTTCCTCACGTGATAATTTCTTCTCTATGAACCATTCTCCTATATAAATGCAATATATACAGTAAATTATGCATGCATTGTTGACTTATTATTGTGGATTAGTGAAAATTGACTTGTGAGTGACTTTGTATGTATGTGTTGAGAAAGTTTGAGAATGCATTGTACTCTGTATTTAGAAAAAGTGTAATAAAAATTTTAGAAAATATTTTGCCTATGCGGGATTCGAACCCACATCAATAGTACATACTGCTCTATCCTTTGTGTTAGAATAATAGACCAACGTTAGAGGGGGGTGAATAGCGTTTGATCAAGAAATCGCAGGAATAAAAAACGAATAAACGAGAAGTAAAGAGGCACACCGATTTTACCTTGGTTCACCACAACTTGTGGCTAATCCAGCCTCCCGAGAGACTCTCTCGAGCTACACTACTATCTCGTTACGCTTAACGGTGCTTAACAAACCCGTACAACTGGAGAATTCGAGTCACACGAACCTCAACGAACCTTCGAAGGAAACAGCCCTTCCTTCGAACAACAAGAGAAATACCTTCTCTTGTCAAGTGTCTAAGAACACTAAAAACACTCAAGAACAGTACTCTATTTTAGAGTGGATAATGAGTAAACTAAGAACGCTCAAGAACACAACACAAGCTTCACAAAAATGGCTCTCAAAAGCTATGAAAAATTGAAGAATGATTTGCAATGAAAGAGTAGGAGTTGTGAAGAAAATGTGATGTGTAAAACAGACCCAAACACCCCATTTTATAGTAGAAAAATAGGCTCCAACGGACCAAAGTATTTAAGGGGTGATTGGCAAATTTGTGGGATTTGATGAAATTTGGATCTGTTGAAATTCACCCAGACAGCGCTGTCCTAGGCCTGGACATCGCTGTTCTAGGCTTGCGTTTTGAAAAATGGGAAGCAACGGTCATGCCAACAGCGATGTCCAAAACCCCTACATCGCTGTTTTGGCTGTTGACTTCCAAACAAGGAAAGTTTTAGCCTTAAATTCGATCTAACGGTCAGGTCTCTACATCGATGTTCCATACTAGAACATCACTGTTTAGGTCTGCCTTTGAAGATGGAAGTTTTGGCCTGACAGCGCTGTTGCTGGGTCAACATCGCTGTCCAAAAACTTTCTGCCAATGCACTATGTTTTTGGCTTAGGTTGGACAGCGCTGTAGAGAAGCCTACATCGCTGTTCTAGAAGTTTCTGGAAATCCAACCTTGGCTCAACAACGATGTCTAGTGTCCAACATCGCTATTGGAAGACTTAACGCCAAACCATGTTTTTAGCTACCCAGGCCAGACAGCGCTGTTGATTACCTCAACATCGCTGTTGGGCTGGTTTAGCCAGACCCATGGTTGGTTTAGTCACGCCGTTAGCCGATGTCAAAAACGCAAGTTCTCCAAAATAAAAACCAAGTTTAGAAAACATTTGTTTATTGCATTTTGCTAAGAAATCAAGTAAAACATCTTAAAAACCACGTCATTTAGTTGAAAACCACGGCTAGCCAAGTTCGCGCCGTTTCGCATGGTTTTCACTAAACGACCAAAAATAGAAGGTGGTTTTCGAGGCGTTTTTGTTGGAGAACTATTTAAATATGCCCAGAAGTAAAAACCAGTCATAAAAGTTGAAAACCACTTGGTTGGTTCGAACGCCAAAAACCAATGCCGAAAACCGAAAGCCGAATGCCGGTTTCTGAGAACCGAACGCCGGATGGCTTGGTTTTTGGTTTGGGCGAACTCCAAGTGTTTTTAGCCAAGTTTAAAACATAAGAAAAGTATTTTTGAATATGTAAAAAAGATTTTTATGAATTGAGCCTAGAGAGCCAAGATTTGGAATTTTGTGCCGGTCTTGATCACATTAAGACCGACTCAACGCAATTCTAATTCTTCGTTCTTGATTCTGGGTTCTTGGTTCTCAAGTCATTATGCCATGTTCCTTCGCCTTAGTTTTGCTCACTTTAGCTTTGATATGTCGCGGCAGTTTGGCATTATCAAAACCTGTCATAAAACGAACACAGTTTAGTACGACGTAGGCGTAAACCCGTGTTCCAACAATTTCCCCCTTTTTGATAATGGCAAACAAGACGGGGATATGCATACTAAGGGATATTTTTTTTTCAAAAGGTTGTGAAAAAGTTCCCCCTTAGTTTGTGCTTTTTAAAAAAATTAGTCGGATTAAAATCAAACGGTCTCGTTGTTGGAGACGTTCCCCCTTAGTATATGCATAGCCCTTTTCTTCCCCCTTTTGACATTAACAAAAAGATAAACGAAATGATTTTATTTAATAAATGGAAATAGCGGAGTACAACGGAAGCATTAAAAAAACAGGATAATTAAAGTAAAAGAGATAGAAATTCTAGGGGAGTCCTAGTCTTCGTCTTCGGTTTCCTCCTCGTCGTCGTCGATGTCCATTTCATCACCATCAATGGCATCGTCGAACTCGTCTTCATCCGGGGAGCTTGACGGGGCGTAGGAGTCATCGGCTTCGTCCTCGTCACCGTAAACTTGCCCAAGGAACGTGCCGTGGTACGGTGGGGGGACGTAGTTGATGCCTTGGAAGTACGAGTTCATCGCGTATCCTTGGCGTTGAACAGCCATGTCGAGCCGTTCAAGATAACTCCCCATCCCGTCAACCTTGAGGTGGAGCCGGTTGAGGGAGTCGGCGATGGAGGCAAGGTTGGCCCGGGCCTAAGGTCTGGCTGGGCCAGCAGCAGGGGCAGTGCAGCGTGGCTCGGCAGTGGCAGCCGCGGCGTTGTCCAACCGCTTGAGGAAGGTTTGGTTGTTGATTGTCCAAATCTTCGTGGCCTTCGAGAGCGGGCCAACGGTGGTGGTTACCTTGAACCGTTCAAGGATGTCCATCACCAAAAACGGGTACGGGAGGAGGTGGTCGTGCTCGGTGGACGGGGCAATCGTCATGTTGATCATGACAAACTTTGCCCAATTGATTGGGGCAGAATGCATGATCGCATGGATAAGCTTGAGGTCTTCACCGTGCATGATGGTGTGGCCGTGCTTCCTGGGTTTGATGATCCGGGTGACGATGTAGAGGACGAGGCGCCCTTCGGGGTTGGCGGAGTGGATGGTTGGGCGGCCCGAGGCATGGCATTTGAGCTCGGTGATGCCAAGCTCGTCGAGGATAAGGCCCTCATTGTTGAGCACCCAATCCTCTCCACCATAGTGAGACACATCGTCGCCTTGGAAGGGGAGGCCGGCGATGCGCCCAAGCTGCTCCACGGTGAGCTTGATCGGCGTGCTCTTGACGAGTGAGTAGAGCACGTTGTCCTCATGCCGGAGGTTGGAGTAGAAGGCCCGGATCAGCGCCGGGTTGATCTCCTTGCGCGCCCGGGAGACGAACGGCCAAAGGCCGGCTTGATGAAGCTACGCGTCGAGGTCGTCGTAGCCCTGCAACTCCGGGTAACGCTCCGGGATGATTCGTGGGGGAGCCACAACCCGTTTGGAGAAGAAGGTGAGAAAACAGGTGCGCGCTCCTCCTCGGAATCAAACCAAAGGTATGTCCCGTCGCCATAGTAGAGGCGCTCCTCGGAGGAAGACGTAGGCGCCCGGGATTTGGACTTAGATTTCCCGGAGGTGGCGGCCCTGCTCTTGTCTTTGCCCATGATGAGGAAAAAAAACTTGTAAGGAGGATGAATTATGCAAAGGGAAGGGAGAGAATTGTGTTTTGTGTGTGTAAAAATGAGGGGTGGAGGCTCCAATATATAGAAAAGGAAGCCTCCAACGTCCAGAATTTCAAAAATATGGCTGTTGGAGCAATAAATGCAGGTGCAACGGATAATTTTTTTTTGAAAATGTTGACCAGAACAGCGATGTTCTACAGGCGACATCGCTGTTAGGACAGCGCTGGTGAGCCTAGTACAGCGCTGTTCTGCGTCAAGGTTTAAAAAAAAAGAGTCAACCAGACAGCGATGTTGAGTGCCCTTCAGCGATGTTCCAAAAGTTTCTGGAATTGAGTAAGGGTTTGAGCCCATTTGAACAGCGCTGTTGGGTTGCCTACATTGCTGTTTTACGATAGGAAAAAAATTTGTAAAAAGAATGGACAGCGCTGTTGCTCAAAGGACATCGCTATTGAAAAACTTTCTGGTTCCATAAATTAAAAGGTTTTTTGGAAGACAGTGATGTTGAAAGAGGGACAGCACTGTAGAAAAAGTTTCTAGAAAGAGTAAGGAAAGGGAACTCCCTGGGACAGCGCTGTTTGCTTGTTGTACAGCGCTGTTGGAAAACTTTTTGGCTGACGGTGTTTCCCTCAACAGCGATGTTGTGTCTCCTGGACAGCGCTGTTTGCATGGTTCCCCCTGATTTCATGAACGGGGTACCTGCAAAAAAGAAAAAGTTCTCCGACGCTCAAGTTAGTAAATGTTTAAAAAATTTAGATGCACAACTTAGATCATCGTGGAGTCAAGGATTCCGAGTTCACTTCGAATGCGGAAGAACGACTCTTTCTCTAAAGGTTTTGTGAAAACGTCGGCTAATTGGTTGTGTGTTTCAACAAACTCAATTTCGACATCACCTTTGAGAACATGATCTCTAATGAAATGATGCCTAATGTCAATGTGTTTCGTCCTTGAGTGAAGAACGAGGTTCTTCGTCAAGCTTATGGCGCTAGTATTGTCACAACGAAGAGGGACGTGATTAATACTAAGGCCATAGTCCACGAGTTGTTGCTTCATCCAAAGGATTTGAGCACAACAACTACCGGCGGCTACGTATTCCGCTTCGGTTGTGGATAATGCAACACTGACTTGTTTCTTGCTAAACCATTCTTCCATTTTTCATAGCTTTTGAGAGCCATTTTTGTGAAGCTTGTGTTGTGTTCTTGAGCGTTCATAGTTTACTCATTATCCACTCTAAAAGAGAGTACTGTTCTTGAGTGTTTTTAGTGTTCTTAGACACTATTAGACCAATTGTTAGAATAATAGACCAACGCTAGAGGGGGGGGTGAATAGCGTTTGATCAAGAAATTGCAGGAATAAAAAATGAATAAACGAGAAGTAAAGAGGCACACTGATTTTACCCTGGTTCACCACAACTTGTGGCTAATCCAGCCTCCCGAGAGACTCTCTCGAGCTACACTACTATCTCGTTAAGCTTAACGGTGCTTAACAAACCCGTACAACTTAAGAATTCGAGTCACACGAACCTCAACGAACCTTCGAAAGAAACAGCCCTTCCTTCGAACAACAAGAGAAATACCTTCTCTTGTCAAGTGTCTAAGAACACTAAAAACACTCAAGAACAGTACTCTCTTTTAGAGTGGATAATGAGTAAACTAAGAACGCTCAAGAACACAACACAAGCTTCACAAAAATGGCTCTCAAAAGCTATGAAAAATGGAAGAATGATTTGCAATGAAAGAGTAGGAGTTGTGAAGAAAATGTGATGTGTAAAACAGACCAAAACACCCCATTTTATAGTAGAAAAATAGGCTCCAACGGACCAAAGTATTTAAGGGGTGATTGGCAAATTTGTGGGATTTGATGAAATTTGGATCTGTTTAAATTCACCCAGACAGCGCTGTCCTAGGCCTGGACATCGCTGTTCTAGGCTTGCGTTTTGAAAAATGGGAAGCAACGGTCATGCCAACAGCGATGTCCAAAACCCCTACATCGCTGTTTTGGCTGTTGACTTCCAAACAAGGAAAGTTTTAGCCTTAAATTCCAAGAAAACCCCCTAAATAGGAGTAAATCATTAAGCATATACCCAAAATAGGAGTTCATAACTTATATACCCAAAATAGGAGTAATTAATTAAGCTCCCCACTCCTTATCTGATCCATAAATCTGTTCTCTTCTCTCGTTCACTTCCGATCCCTTCTCTGCCATTCTTCCTACGACTCCCACCTTCACCGCAGCCCCTTATCGCCATCTTCGCCACCCATCTCCTTTGCCTCCGCCCCATTCTTTCAAGTCCTCAACAAAGAGATCCTTGGTGATGCTTTTGTCTGGCTTCTTTTGTTCATTAAATGGGTATACATAAACTTTGATTTCATCAACTTATGAGATATATGGGTATCGATCTATCATTTTTTATTTTCTCTTCAAAGAAATCTATATGGATCGATGTTCATTGAAGAGAGCATAACCCCCGAAGACTTATGAATTATGAATGATACAGTGACATATTTGTTGTTAATTGGTGTTATATTTGGCATTTTGCTTTTCTCTTTGACATAATACAGTGGCATATTTGTACTTGTTAGAGGCTATGTTTGGCATTATAGATTGTAATCTTTGACATTGTATTATTGTTGCATTGTATAAAAAGTATTTTTCCTTGACAGTCATTATAAGACAATAATACTACGGCGACGATAACAGATCCCGGTGGTGTTGGCGGCGAAAGAGGCGAGCTTGGCGGTGTGAGAAATTACCGGCAACATTCGATTGCACGGTGCAGGGTACAACAGTAGGTCGTGGGCAAATGCGAGTGGTGTCAGCAGCGACAGAGGCGCACTTGTTGACGTGGGGAATCACTGACGACAATAGATTGCAAGACAGCAGAGGGCGGGCGGCGGCGGTTCATGGTGGCAGTGACGGTGGGTCGGTGGCGGTTGTGGCCATTGCACATTTTTCTGCTGGATTGTTCGTTGATTGCTCGGGGTAGCGAATGAGGCAAGCTTGTTGCTATATTTGGCAGTTTGCTTCTCTTTGAGGTTATTCTTGTGACTACTTAAACACAAGAATAATGCTAAAAAGTGAGGAAGAGATCAGCGGGGAGAGGGAGTGCATGAGAATGTTAATTAGATTAATTAAGTTAATTACTCCTATTTAGGGGAGTTTAAGTTTCAACTCTTATTCTGGAGAGTTGGTATATGTTTTACTCTTAGTTTGGTCCTTCTCCCTTAAATTCCTTCCAACGGTCAGGTCTCTACATCGATGTTCCATACTATAACATCGCTGTTTAGGTCTGCCTTTGAAGATGGAAGTTTTGGCCCGACAGCACTGTTGCTGGGTCAACATCGCTGTCCAAAAACTTTCTGCCAATGCACTATGTTTTTGGTTTAGGTTGGACAGCGCTGTAGAGAAGCCTACATCGCTATTCCAGAAGTTTCTGGAAATCCAACCTTGGCTCAACAGCGATGTCTAGTGTCCAACATCGCTGTTGGTAGACTTAACGCCAAACCATGTATTTAGCTACCCAGGCCAGACAGCGCTGTTGATTACCTCAACATCGCTGTTGGGCTGGTTTAGCTAGACCCATGGTTGGTTTAGTCACGCTGTTAGCCGATGTCAAAAACACAAGTTCTCCAAAATAAAAACCAAAATTAGAAAATATTTGTTTATTGCATTTTGCTAATAAATCAAGTAAAACATCTTAAAAACCACGTCATTTAGTTGAAAACCACGGCTAGCCAAGTTCGCGCCGTTTCGCATGGTTTTCACTAAACGACCAAAAACGGAAGGTGGTTTTCGAGGCGTTTTTGTTGGAGAACTATTTAAATATGCCCAGAAGTAAAAACCAGTCATAAAAAGTTGAAAACCACTTGGTTGGTTTGAACGCCAAAAACCAATGCCGAAAACCGAAAGCCGAATGCCGGTTTCTGAGAACCGAACGCCGGATGACTTGGTTTTTGGTTTGGGCGAACTCCAAGTGTTTTTAGCCAAGTTTAAAACATAAGAAAAGTATTTTTGAATATGTAAAAGAGATTTTTATGAATTGAGCCTAGAGAACCAAGATTTGGAATTTTGTGCCGGTCTTGATCACATTAAGACCGACTCAACGCAATTCTAATTCTTCGTTCTTGATTCTGGGTTCTTGGTTCTCAAGTCATCATGCCATGTTCCTTCGCCTTAGTTTTGCTCACTTTAGCTTTGATATGTCGCGACGGTTTGGCATTATCAAAACCTGTCATAAAACGAACACAGTTTAGTACGACGTAGGCGTAAACCCGTGTTCCAACACTTTGAGCTAATAGGCAATAATTTATTTTTTCAAAGAGACTCTAATCTTGCACTCGGACATATTCAAATGTAGTTTTATCTTTTAAAATTTGCACCATTCAACATGTTTCAAACTTTTTATTCAAATTTAACAGAGAACACTTTATAGCATCGTCATTTATAAAAAAAAATTACTTTGTAGAACATATAAGTACATTATAATTGGGTAAGGAGAATTTCAATATCAGATGCGTCAATTGACTATTAAAATATACAACAGAATGCATTCATTTATCTTAATAATGATAATGTATTGCCTTTTCATAAAAATGCATTACCGTGATTCTGATGATGCACAATATCATTAAAAAACAAACAATTCAAAGGTAAAAATGATAAAAGAAAATGGATGAAGTAATCTAAACTTATTAAATAAGCATTTTTTATCTTTTAAAAATTACAACATTCAAATTGTTTCTAACCCATATTCAAGTGTATCACAAAATATTTTAAAAATATTATTACTAGGAGAATTTCACTATCTCATAAATTAATTTTACTTTGATTCTAAAAGTTTGTATTAATAGAATGCATAATCCTTTACCTTGTTTCTAAGAATGCATTTTGTTATCATGTAAGTGCATTACATGCATTCCTGTAATGCACAATAGCACAAACACATACTCATTATTCATTAAACTTTAATTAACAACCCTAACAATGGAAAACATGTTACGATACACTTTAAATTCTCCGTGATGCATAGCTAGAGTGTACAATATATGCATTTTCAAGTATCTTACTCCATGAATCGATATTTGAGTTTTTACTACACCTCTTAAAATGCAATGTAATTTTAATGTGCTAGAAGCAATACAAAAATTTACATTAACAGAAACAAAGCCTCACATTTTGCAACACTGTGAAGTAAG